AACCAGGCATAAAGAAATGAAGACGTGGAAATGGTACCATATTGACAGCCAATTTACGTAAATCAGCATTGAGTTGACCTTAAAAGAAAAATAAATAATTAATTTTATTTTATTATTTATTATTTATTAATCATACCAGGAAATCGAAGACAGGTGGTAACACCAGACATTGTTGCCGAGACAAGATGGTTAAGATCACCATATGTTGGTGTTGTAAGTTTTAATGTACGGAAGCAAATATCATACAATGCTTCATTATCGATACAATATGTTTCATCAGTATTTTCAACCAATTGATGAACTGATAATGTGGCATTGTATGGTTCGACGACTGTATCCGAGACTTTTGGTGATGGTACAACACTGAAGGTGTTCATAATACCTTGAGAATAAAATAATAATTTTTTTATAAGATATTAATTAATTAAATGAACTTACGATCTGGATATTCTTCACGAATTTTTGAAATAAGTAATGTGCCCATACCCGATCCAGTACCACCACCTAATGAATGTGTTAATTGAAAGCCTTGGAGGCAATCGCAGGATTCAGCCTCTTTACGAACGACATCCAAAACGGAATCAACGAGTTCTGCACCTTCTGTATAATGACCCTTGGCCCAATTATTACCAGCTCCTGATTGTCCAAAAACAAAGTTATCCGGTCGGAAAAGTTGACCGAATGGACCTGAACGTACTGAATCCATAGTACCAGGTTCCAAATCAACGAGAACAGCACGAGGAACATATTTACCACCTAGATTTCATTTTTTTTTTATTGGTTCAATCAATAAAAAGAAAAATTCTCATCTTATTTACCAGCAGCTTCATTGTAATAAACGTTGATACGTTCAAGTTGAAGATCTGAATCACCATGGTATGTACCAGTTGGATCAATACCATGTTCATCTGAGATAACTTCCCAGAACTAACAAAAACAAATTATTTCTTTTTTAAATCTTTTAAAAATTATTTTCTATTCATACTTTGGCACCAATTTGGTTACCACATTGACCAGCTTGCACTAGAATTTCATATTAAATATATACATATATATATATGAAATTTATCTTATATTTTATTAGACTTACTATGTACGATTTCACGCATATTTGTTGTTTGTTGCTTCGACGACGAACGACGAGTAAAGAAAAGAAATGATGTTAAAGAAAACGATAGAGAGAGGCGAACAACTAATAACGAACATGCACAGAGCTTTATATAGGGACATTATTTCTCTCGTTCTCTCTTTCTCACTTTTTCTCTCTAACTTTTACAATACACATTTGTTCTCGCGATATGTTTGATGGCAACCAATGAATAGCCATGTTTCTATGGATACATATAACATACGATTTTTTCATTCTCTTTTGCTTTTTGCTCGTGTTCTTTCTTCTCTAATGTCCGTCGTCGGGCAATGAACAAAGAATACAATACAACGACAAAGACGACGACAACCACATTTTGTTTGTTTCGTTGCCATGAATCAACAACGAGTTTGAAGTACCAACGATGATGAGAGTGAAAAAAGGCAGAGAGAGAGAGAGAGAGAGACTTCGAATGAACTCAACAGGAGTTTGAAAAAAGCAGAAGAATGAATCACATAAAAAAAAAAGCATAACGATTTCATTTCGAATAATGATCATCATGACAACTTAAAAATGAATTTTTGTCTGCTGCATTTGTTACTGTTTGTTCTTGCTTTCTTACAATCCATTCGAATTTCATCTGAGAAGAAAAAAAAACCGAATGTTGATAAGATGTTTTACATTGCAACTTTCACTGCATAAATTGCAGTTACTGTCGTTCTCTGGTAGAAATCAATAAAACAACAGAATCCTTTTTTTTTTCTTTTGCAAAATTTGTTTCAGTCAAACAAATATAACTTTGAAAATTGAATCGTTATAAATAGAAAGTAGAACTCGTTTTATTTTTGTGTAATATTTTACAGAATTCAAATATGAAATACATAATCAATTTCATGATGCTTAGTATCATTTTATGTACATGCAATGAAAATTAATACATACTCATTTTTTTTTCTCTTTCTACAGTATATATAATGTCGCAAAAAAATAAAATCAATATTGATCATATCAACAAAGACACTTGAAGAATATCTTGTACAGCGATACTTCGATAGAAAGATTCAATAAATTAAAACTAGAAGATATGATCTTATTACAGAATTGTTTCTTTAGTTTTTTTACTAAATAAAAAAGACGATTGTATTCATCGTGAACAAAAATGAAAATCTTCGAAATATCATTATAATGTGAGGACAAAAAAAAAAAACTAAACATCAAATCTAAAAATTTATTTTATATGTACAAAGACTTACAACGAATAGAGGTTTTTTTTAAGTTAATTTACAAAATATTCGTATTATTAATTAATATACAAATTTAACCGTTTTGTCTTATTAATAAGGATATTATTATGACAAAAAAATAGAACAACGAAGCATCGTATTAGTAATGAGTGCAGAGTACAATTGATAATTGTTAACATATGCTTAAGATAATAAGAATAATATAACAAATTATGCAAGATAATATTTTCACATTGTTTGTTTATAATAAACAAAATCGTTTATAATTTCTTGAATGATATAATCTCAAACCTAAACCAATTCTATCTCTGTTATCTATTATTTCACAAACATGCACTATTGTGTAAAGTGCTCAAGAAATTTCCGAATTAATTTTATTTGAAGAAACTACTGTTCTATTAGCATTGATATCTGCGTCAGTCGTTCATGCAATCCTCTGTCAATAGGAAAAAAATTAGAAAATTCGAACACTATTCTGTTCCATAAAATTTTTTGTTTTAACAAGTCAGTCACAGTTGATCTTATATTAATGACAGTATAGTGGCATAGTTGATGGTAAGTAGTACTCTCTCATTCAATACAACTTCTGAATAGAATCGTTATTTTAAAGATAAACACTTATACATTGATGATTAGTCGAACTAGCGTTCAACAAATAATAAATACTAATCGCATATTTGAAATCTGCATTGTATGGTATTTTACATGAACAAGTGCATATGATGAAAGTCTGTTCTATAGGAATGACACAATCACTAACATAGTTTAAGAAGAATGTTGTTTATATCTTAACATAATACGTAAATTGCGGTTTAATCAATTTTGTATTCGAAATGACTTTTTAAATAGAAAGATAAAGCAAATTATTAGATACAACTTAACTAGATCGATGCAATCAATATGGAATGTGGCTTTTTTTTTGAATTTCATGCTTAAATTGATTATATTTTCTACAAATATATATAATACAAAAAGGATTTTTTGCCAATTTCTGTCAAAATCGATAGGTACTAACAATATGTGAAAAATATCAATTTTATATACATTTCGTAATTAAATTTTCGATCATCTATATCATCATTTTTTGCCTAGTCAATATTGTCTTGTATGATAAACTGCAATCTACCGATATGCAAAAGTATTGTTTTCTGAGTTATCAACATTGAATGCACCTCAACGAAAATGAAATAAATGAAATTAAAGTCATCGATTCAATATGAACAGTATTTTTCGTCTATCGTCTTAGTTATATATCATCTATGAGTTGAATAGCACATTAAAAAACAGCTAGCAGAAAATAATAGGTAATTAAAAGTGGTTTTTTTTTTGTTTTTTTAAGACAAAAAACTTTGTTTCGGTAGCTCTATAGTGCTTCTCTGCAGCGCATTTGAAAGGAATTCTCAAGGATTTTTCGTGACAAAAAATTCATTTTCGCAACCATAGGATATAATGAAAATCAGTGAATAGTCGTCAAATGCGTCACATATGAAGGTATTTTTCTCAAATAGGAATATATTCTGTAACATCTTGTTATTTGTTACTTAGAAGTGCACTCCATTTATGCGCTTTATTCTAGAAATTGAATATGTTCTTGACGCAAACATACTATATCTAATTCACTGTATTATTTCAAGAACACTCCTCTGACTAATGATGTGTTTTCTTTTTTTTTTTTTGTTAAAAATTATTGAAATTAGAAACTGTAATTGAGAACACGATTAAAATGAGTTTTTGAGAGACATAATAGAAGATCACAGTTCGTTTAATGTATCGATATAGTTTCCCTATTTTTGATCCTTCCTACTCTTTTTGTGTTTTCAAAATTCGATGAGCTAATTGTTTTATGACGATGATTTGTTTGGTTATTTAAACTTAAATTGATTTTTTACATGAATGAATAAATCCATTACAATTTTTTTAATTTTTAAATCTCTTTATCTTTGTTTCTAGTTTAATAATTTTATAAGTAGATATGAATATGTTTCTCTTTATTTTAATTTAAAAAATATTTTCATCCGAAAATGAATAGGCTTTTTTTGTGATTTATCTTTTTCTTATAATGTAAAAAGAATTTTTATTATTCAAGAATTGATTATTCAATAAAAAGACATATATGATCGTACTGAGATTTTTTTCAATGAAGTCTCGATCTATTAGAAGAGTTCGTTGAATTAGTCCCGAACTCAGTCAAGTTCAGGTCTGAAATTGGGCCCGACAGGCTCTAATTCGGCTAAGAAATGTGTAGGGTGCGCTAGTTACCGAATACAAAAAACACTCGGGAAAAAAGTGTTTCATATCTTCGGGATGATTATATGATTCCTATTACAAAATTTCATTGAGAACATCAAAGTTCGATTCAATTGGATCTATTTATTAGTCAAATTTAAACGTAAGTATATTCATAATCATAAATCCACCAATGATAATGTTTTGTTAACATTCTTTACATGTTGTAAATTAAATTTTAAAACTATAACACATTTTAGAAAAAAAAAGAAACATGTTTATGAGTAAATGAATGATAAATATTGCATGTTTTGTACTAAAATAAACTTTATTGATAATAATAACTAGAAACGTTTTTATAAAAGATTCATAAAAATAAATAGGTTATTTTTCTTTTTTTTGTTTTATCTTTTTCAGTTAATTAAATATTAATTTAAAAGTTATTATTCTTGTTGTTTGATTAATTTACTGCCTTGTTGTGGTTTTAATTCAATATCACCACTTTCATTCATTACTGGAATTTTAACATTATCATCAACAGTTGGATCAGGTTCACCAGGTGTTAATTCATTGTCTTTATGTTGAGTTTCATTTTCATTTTCATCGTTGTTCGTTGTTTCAGTTGATGGTGAAGATTCTTTCTTTTGTTTCTCTAGTTCGAGTTCATGATCTTTTTTACTTTCTTCTTTTTCAATTCGACGTTTTGTTTTAGGTGATGGTGGTTGTGGACGAAGTTTATCTAATTCTTTTTCAATCTCTTCAAGACTACGTTCATTTTCATTATTTTGATCTTGTTTTTCATTGTCTTGTGCCAATTTTGTCGATTGAGGTTTTGGAATATCATTATCATTTTCTGTAGATTCTGTATTTGATTTATCTTTATCGTTTTTGGACATGATTGAATCGTTTAAAAGTTACTATAATTCGAAGAATTATTTCGAATAACGTAATATATATTATTACGCTTTATCACTCGTGAAAATAATATGAGTATGATTAAGAATGAGTCAAAAGCCTCGTTGCAATACGGTGAAAAATAGCTCATCGACTCGTTTTTTTTCTATTCTTTTATTGCGACGTATATAAAACATATTGTTTTTGCATACTATATTAATCACATGAAATATTGAATTTGTTTCAATATGGATTTCAATAATAATAATAATTCATTCATATCATATTCTTTATATTCATTCCTTTAAATTTAGAGTAAATAATTTCACATGATTATCTAGATGTTCCCATATACTAATTTTATTGAGGGAATAATGGCTATTTACAGAACAAATATATTGATAATATCTTAAAAAAAGCATACATAACACGAAACTTGACAGTATATTTGTCTTTATTTTCTTCAATATTTTCATAGAATAATTTTGTTCTTTAAAAACTTAATTTTTTTTGCACTTGACTTATTTCGAAAATTATTTATCTTCCTCGATCCTTTTTTCATCTGTAGAATATTTTGACAATAGTTAAAATTTTAAGAACAAGTACGAATTTTTCAATTTCAAATAGGATTATAATGATATTTTATAAATATCTAAAATATCCTCTCTATATGTCTTGGACAATCTTGACTAGATAAGAACAAGATAGTCCCTAGAGCTGAAATCAGAACTAACATTTGTTTTTTGGCAACGATATTTTTCTTTATGGTCGTTTAATGTTTGCATTGATTGTCATGTTGTCATCACTCATGTGTTCTAAATAGATATGGACAAGATAATTCCGCTCATATCTAATCTTGACATATGTAATATAGTTGTTGACTTGTCTAATGACGTGTTTCCCGACTTTTGTATTAACAATAATGTGAAAGTTTTTGTTTTTCTCTTGATATAGATAACGAAAGAAACTCCGACAAACCATAATATTGAAGATCATTAAGAAAAATCTAGTGCATTGTACAAATTTCTGTAAAAGCAAAAACACTTTGTTATTTTTTTGTTTTTGTATTTGTTGTGAATTGAGTAAAACTTGAGAGAAAGGTATAAACACATATAACTCTTGTGAACGGATGAAATAAAAATTTATGTTCGATTCTTAACATTTCTGTTTGTATATTTATAATTAGTACATAATTTCAAGTTTTATCATATTTATTTTCTAGTCAATCTATTGGACTCTTTAAATATGTTAGATATTTTTCTATATATGAAATATCCTGTGTTTGTTTTTTCTGTTCTAATCAAACTGATTTGTTGACAAGATTTATTCTAGATATGTAGTACAAGATGGATAAAAATGTTTTTCTAGGAGATAGCGCTGTGATTTCAAAATAACATCAATAATAAATTTAATATCAAATTAAAACGCATCGAAAATGAGATTTATCAACACTAAATAGTTAGTAAGGATTATCGTAATTTTTCAGTATCGAATTCAGAAAACTTCGAAAAATTTACATTATATCAGTAAAGAAAATTTTCTTTCACGAGGTAGAGTAAACTAGATCTCATTTAAAATGATGAATATCATAAAGTACTAAATACCTGACATGGAAATATTGAAACAATGGTCAAAAATAAAGCTGAAAAAAATTGCTATTCGAGACAGGACACCGTCATTATGATGGAGAAACTCTAAAAAAAAACATTTTTTTAATATGTTAAATAGACACTCATCTGTTTCAAATTATTTTATGTTTGTATGCATCTCATTTTGCTGCTGTAAGAATGCTAATGATCGTCATACTAATTATTGATTGTATTCATCAAATTTTTAAAAAAATAAATATTATTTTTTGATATTCATTATTTTATAAGAGTTCTAGTTTGAACTGCTTCATACAAGAAATTTTTCTTTATTGATATAGTGTCAAATTTTAGAAAATTTTTGAATTCAACACAGAAAAATTATTATCATCTTTAGTATTTATTATCGATAAATTCCATTTTCGACACGTTTTAATTTAGTATTAACCTTTGTTGTTGATGTTATTTGAAACCACAGCATTACCGCCCTGGAAAAACATTTGTACCTACCCTGTACAATAACAGTTTCTGGCCATGAACTGCCACAAATTGATTTATCAGTAAGACTGTTAGATACAATTTATATATCAATTAACACAATATCAGATATATAGAAGTATGTTCATCAATAGAAAGCTATCATATTTTACACTATGCTTCATTTATATAGAATCATTATCGTCGATTTAAAGTTGATCAAAAACAAAAACTGGTTAAATTATTTCATCTTCATTATTATCAATCGTTGATTTAAATTTCGGCCACTTAACATCTTTTGTTAACATTCCATGCAATAATTATTATAGCAATAGCCGTTTTTTTGTCATGCAATATTCATAATATATGTTAATGTGTAGAACATACGCTTGAAGATCAATCATTATGTCAACTACAAAACTTTACTGGCATATCATATAGTGTTGATAATGAACATTGTAATAATCTTAACTTCATCTGTATGAAATTTTTTCAATATGTTCGTCAGTATTAACTACGAAAGAAATAATTCTTGTCAAACAATGTTAAGAAAAATAGATACTAATAATATGGAAGTTAAGATCATCTGTATTTATTTTGTTATTCTAGTAATATCTGTTTCTGTTGATAAAACTGTGCCTGATTGTGGTAATAGTATAACTGGGAGCATGTACCCAATAGTTCCTATATTATTGAAAAATCTGATCTACATGCTATTGTCTTTAACCCTATATCGGCTAACTTATTTATGAAATAAACAAAGTAAAAATCTATTTTTAACGGAGTATATTTTGAAAACTATTAGCAATTATAATTCTTATACATAGACTTGAATCAAATTTTCAAAATGTAAATTTAACGAGCGAACCATTGTATTCGACACTTGTTTAATGCATCACATAGGAATATTACTATTGTTAGCAATCGACTTACTAGATCAAATACATCACAACTTTACAATCCAGTGTTAATATGTATTGATGGAAAACAAACATCGAAAATGAATTTACATTGTAAATGGATATGTTATAAGTTTTAGGTCGAAAAATACTGCATATCGAATAAATATCAATAGAACTAAAAGTAATCATTCTTTGAATATATGGTATACGAATCGTCAACAAATAGTAACTTGTATGCATCCAATTTTAGTAATTCACATGTTCTACAATGGGTATTCCACGTGACACTATCAAAAATATAGTAATTACTAACGGAACAACTGGTGTTAGTCAATATTCGCTTCATTACTCACGTCAAATTAATCTTGATCCAATAGAAATGTATCTTTATGTTACGAACAACAACAATAATCAAATATCAATATACAATTCAGTCAATAAAGTTATCATAGTAAAAATGTTGTTTGTTGGTAATGATATTGGAAAAGCAGTAAATCAACTTTACGAGCTCTAGTCTTTTCCAAGACAGGCATCATTTATATAATCGAAAGATATAATCATTATGCGAAATGTGTCAATTCTATCTATCGTTCGTTTAGGTGCTAATAAAGCATTTTTTTTATAGATGTGATTAATTACAGTAATGATCATGTTCGACGTTTTCGTCATATTAAAAAAATCTATTTGGATATTGTTATGATGTGTAATTAATCTTGAAATTCTACATAGTTTTTTGTTTTTGTTTAGCTTTATCGTCATTATTTTCTTCTTTTTTGATAAATATATATATTCAAGGATTCTTAAATTAGTTCTGTCATCTCCTATTCAACAAAAACATTAAATAAATACCTATTTATAACTTTCAAAATATTTTAATATGTTGTAATTAGAGATCATTTCATTAGTAAACTTAACCTATATTATAGAATAAAAACAAAAAAAAACAAAAAAAAACAAAAAAAATTATAATAATCATGAACAGAACCATTAGTTATTATTATTATTATTATTATTATTATTGTTATTTGTAATAAAAACATTATTTTTTATATATAAGAAAGTTATTTCTTCAAAATGACCTATATATGCATGTTAACACCTGTTATTTCTGACTCGATGGTATTATAGAGTTCGCTTTTGTTATTTTCTATATCTCTGTCTAATTTCTCATCAAAACCAATTGCTTTCTGTCAAACAACCACATAAAAGAAAATGTATATAGTGTCGACGAATGATGACAGCTCCCTGATAACAAAATAGAAAAAAAAAAAGAAGAAAGTATCGATATATTAAAGCAATATAGAAATAGAAATAGAAGAAGAAAAAGAAAAGAAATAAACAATCGAAAAAAAGGAATTGTTAGTTGAAAATAAACATAACAAACTATTAGTAAGATATGGAGAGTAAACGAACGTTATTAACCAGTGGTCAAGGAACTATTCGTCGACCAAGTCATATAAATAATACAATATCGTCAGAAGATGATGATCAGTTTGTAGAAACCGATGAATTCGATGATTTAACAGAATCTAATGTAGAACGACGTCGTTCAAGTCGAGTAAGTTTTTAATTAAACAAAAACAAACAACAAGTTTTCTACTGTATATATTATTCTATAGGTTTTTTCTCTTCGATTTTTACCTGATAAAATTTTTCTTTTAATATTTTCTTATTTAACACCACTTGATCTTATTCATTGTACACATGTATGTCAACGATGGCATCATCTTATATCTCGTCATTCAAGTTTATGGCGACGTCTCTTTTTACGTCCTGATTGTAGTAATGGTCAAATAGGTGCTGTTCATGTTCGTCGTTTAGATGTATTTCTTCATGCACTTGCAACACGTTTTAGTTCATCACTTATTTATATTGATTTACCTATTGAATTAATTACTGTTGAAGTTTTACGTGAATTAGCTATACGTTGTCCAAATTTAGAATATTTAACATTAGATTTTTCATCAGCTATGCAATTACATGATTTTAGTGAATTAAATGAATTTCCATGTAATCTTAAACGTTTATGTATTTGTTTATCCGATGTTATTTTTCTCGAAGGTTTTATGCGTCGTATATATGCATTTTTATCATCATTACATACATTACATATAATTGGTACACTTGAAAAATCATCTTTAACATCAACATCACCAGAAGAAACAGATGAATATGAAACAATTAATATAAATAGAATTAAAGCTCATGCACCTAATTTACATACAATTAATTTATATGGTGTAAGTTTTATTGATGATAGTCATATAGAAGCTATTGCATCTGGTTGTATACATCTTCAATGTCTTGCTTTAAATTTTTGTACACGAGTAAAAGGTACAAGTTTTAAAAATTTAATGAATCGATGTCAAAAAGTTACATGTTTATTATTACAAAATACGGGTAAATAAAAAAAAAAGATTAGTATTAAATGAAAATAATTAATTTTATAATGTTTCTTTCCTAAATGTTATTAGACAAAGAATTGACATACATTTTTTTATTTTTTTATTTTTGTAGGTATACAAGATGAACCTATGCTTGCTGTTAATTGGTCTACGACTCAACTTTCTGAATTAGATATATCATCAACTGACTTAAGTGAACGTGCTCTTGTAGATTTTTTTTCAATGGTACCAAAACTTACATATTTAGCTGTACCGTTTTGTGATGGTTTTACAGATGCGGTAATATTAATATTGATGATTTTGCATCGGAACATTCCCAAGTGATTCGCACTTCATTTGTTCTCATATTTTATCAATATGAGAATAACTGAAGCATGAATTACTTGGGGAATAGTTTCATTGTTAGTAAAATTCATTATAAAATTTAGGTTTTAAATTTATTATTGGATCGAGGTAAATTAAATGGATGTCGAGCACTTGATTTAAGTCATACAGTTAATTTAAATGTTGATGCTGTTCATCGATTATTAACATCATTTACTAATATATCTTATCGACTTGAAGCATTAAGTTATACAGGTCATGCTGCTATAACAGAACGATTTTGGATTGATTCTATTCGATATCTTCATCGAATTAAGTAATAAAAATTTTTTAAACATAAAACAAAAAAAATAAATAGAATCTCTTGATTTTCTTTTTTTTTTCGTTTTTTCTAGAATACTTATTATGGGTACAGCACATAGTTGGTTTAAACAAGCAACACGTCGTATTCATATTGATCAAATACTTGAAGCATGTGCTGTTCATTGTCCTTATTTAAAACGTCTCGAAATTCAATGGGATCCTGAAACACTTCGTTTTAGTGAAAATTCATCGAAATTTATTGATCATGTTAGGTAAATATTTTTATTTTTATTATTCATAAAAAAAATCTATTATAATATTTAAAGAGTACGATGTACAAATCTTTCATCATTTGTTCTTTCTGATGGACCTTATTATGAAGGTGCTAAAGCAAATTTTGAACGAGCAGAACGACATGGTATTGTACGAACAACAACTATGTATCAGACAAGCATTGTCAGTAACCTTAGTTTTTATAATGAAATGAAATTCAATTAAAAGAAAACAAAAAACAAAAAAAAAAAAAACACATTTACTTGAAATAAAATATAAAATAAAAAATTTCTAAACAATTTTATTTTAGTTTAATAGAAAACAATGCATGAATCATAATTGCGTTTTATTTCTCATAAGCAAAAAAAAAAAAAGAAAAGAACAAATAAATCGTTGTTATTTTTTCTCTGGACACGTTTTCATAATATATATGAGAACGAGAGTTGATACGTGACAATCTCCATACAATAGAATTGCGCAAACATATTGTAAATTATTATTATATTGATATTCAAATGGGTTCGAAAAAATCAAAACAACAAATTTATTCTATACATGATGAAATACAAAATTCAATTTGTTTTGAAGATTTAAGTAATGAACTTATTTATGAATTATTTGATTATCTTTCATTTCATGATATCATTTTTTCTTTTGATAAATTGAATAAACGTTTTCAAAATCTCATAGATAATTATTCACATTATGTAAATCTTCAACAACATACCGATGACAATATTTTATCATTACCTAAACATATTCATTCACTTAAAATAAATGCTCGTTATCAACTTCAATTTATTAATTTTTCAAATATTTTTTTACTACATTATTTAATACTTTCAAATGTATCAATATTTGATTTATTTCATATATTCAATACACTTTCATTGAAAAATCTTGAATATATATATTTAGGTGCATGTCCCGATTATCATAGATATCAACATGAAAAACTTGCAGAAATTCAACAAAAAATTCTTTTATTAGGTGAATTAAAATTAAAAAAATGTGTATTTCGAATGAAACTTTTTGTAAATATTAATCAATTACCAATGAATTTATTTTCATTAGAATATTTACGAATAGATGGATGTGAAAATATATTAATTGTTAATAATCTACTTAATCATATGCCAAATTTAAAATTTCTTCATGTATCTATTCTTCAATCATTTAAAACTAATAATAACAAAGATCAATATATGAAAGAGAATAATAGAAATAATTCTCTTATTAATTTAATTATTCGAATTCATGATCTTAATTCATTAGAAGAACTTATTTCATTATTTATTCAAAATTGTTCAAATTTAAAAAATCTTATTATTTATCTAAATCCTATTAGAGAAAATTATTCTGATCATGATATGTATGATATTCGTGTGATTAATCTACCACAATATATAACAACTATTATTAATCAATTATTACCTCAACTTACAAATTTTCATCTTCGTCAACGTATTCTTTCAAAAAATTTTGACTTTTTAAATCGACCATATTATTTTTCACCTTATGTTAAAGAAATTCCATATTCATTAAAACATAGATCGTATCGAATGTTTATTGCTCAGCACTTAGCTACTCTATGGAAAAATACAACTTGAACAAAACTCTTGTTAAATAAGATATGACTACCCACACATTTAATATATATATATATATATATATATAAATATATTTGTTTTTCATAATTAATTTAGCATAAATAAATATTTGACACACGACAAGTGTCAACACAATTTTATTATTCAAGATTTTCTTTTCATTGTAGTTATTCCATGATGTTTTTTTTTTTGTAAAAAGTTGTTAGTGTAATCCTTACAGGATTAAGATGTGAAACATAATGTAGTTGTTATAGCTAATCACAAAAAGATTGTTTGATTCTATCTATTTTGAGGCATATTTCTTCGTCATGTATTTACTTAATCCTTTACAAATGCAATAAGGAAGTTGTTCATATATTATAACGAGATATTATTGATATAGAAACTGTGATCGTATATTAACAATGTCTGTAACGGTCTATAGCGGTGAGAGGAAGAAGAAGTATTGTTTAAGATGTCTGTGACGGTCTGCAGGAGGTAGAGCCCAAGCCTGAAAGTTCTGAATCCGGCGTGCTTCAATGAAAGATCCAAATTTTAACTCTTATACTTCAACACTCCTTTTAGATCATGTTTCATAAAAGCCTGATAAAGAAAAAAAAAAGTATCTAGAAACTAAATGATAAAACATTATACTAATATTATATATTTCAAATGAATAAAGTTTTGCTTGATGCATCATTCAAAATAGTTGATTTGAATAATTGAAAGTTGTTAGTATTCAATTAATTTTCACTTATTTTAATAGGATCATATGAAATTAATTACTAGCAAGTTACATATATCGGATGATATTCAGTTTGTTTTCAATAATTTCGAATAAAAGAATTGTGTTCTAGAAGAAGTTGATTGATTGTTCACTAAGATTTGTATTTCATCTATAGATTATTTCATACATTATCAATCTATCAAGTATATATTTGCCAAATTTTTTCTTGATGAGTTAAATCTAGTAGTCGACAACAAATATCACTCTGAATGTTCATAAACACATGTCTTTGTTGAATGATAGCATTTATACGTAGTGCTTACTGATAAAATTTAATATCTTTCTTAAATTTTCTTACTCTATGCCAGACAATTTTAATCATATTCCATGTAGTAGATAAGTCAAGATGATCTTGCTCTATTGTATGCTTTCATCTATTCAAAAATTTTTGATGTAATGATAAGGCTTTTTTGATCAGATCGGATCGCTCATATTCCATACTCATATTGCTTAACATAATAATCAAAAGTTTATGTTACGTTTCAAGAAAACATTTCTCTAAAATCAATGCCTTCCTAAGACTTTTCATTGTACATTTTAAACTACTTCATATAAATAAAAAACAACATGCCTATATTATTATTGTTACTAACCGGATCCATGTGTTGTTTAGATGTCTTTCTTGAAGAAATATTTCACTGCCATTTTATTATAAAATAAAGTTTTCTTGTCTAAATTGGAACGAACTCATTTATGGTCATTGATACCACTGAAAATATTGTTTATGTTCGAGTATATCCACTGATAGACAACTTCGAATGATTTCGAGAATCAAATTTTAGGTTAAGATTAAAGAGTCACATGTTCTTACCAGCTAAGTGCTGATTTGAACATAGATAGATCATAATAAGTCATATTAAGATTTAAGTATGTCACTGACATTTTCTTTATCTTCTTTTATTTTCATTTTTCGTGCAATCTCAATTGACATTTGATAATATTTGATTGTATCATGTTATTTATTAAGTTTGTTTGACATTAGACCTGTATATGAATATATTTTAAGTGCAATCTTACGTGAGCGTTTGTCTGCAACGAAATTATCAAGTTTGTGCTTATCATAAATTTCATAAGTATATATTTTGTATCTTTTCTTCATCTGATAGATCTTCTAATGTTTTGATTGAGCATTCTAATGCACTATATCGAAACACTCCTTAATGATTATTAGAGATGATTTCTATTCAATCTTTTATACGAAATAATGTTCACTAAATAACTCATCAATTCTACTGTTTTCAAGTAGTGTTAGATTCATCAAGTTTTGAATTAGTTCTCTTATCGATAAGAATTTCAGATTGAACCCATTCAAAGTTGACAACGAGAAAAAAGGTATTAAGTGAAAAGATAAAGGATATCAGGTTGTATTAATAAAAATCAGTGAAAAAACATCAAATAAAGGATATTAGTTTTCAAGAATAAAAAGAAAACTAATATGGCATTATTAATGCATTCAGATTCATCATGCCGTTAATATATGTTAGATGTTGTTACTACACTAAGTATTGTAGTGGAGATGTGAAGTTGAAGGTTTTGTACCTCGAAAATTAGTGTGTTTCCATTGTTCAATATTTTAGAAATAGAGAAAAAAACAAGTTGTTCCATCATAGTTTCTTTTTTGGTCGACAACAGTCTGTATTGAGTAGTCAGAATAATACAATCACTCCTCAACGATCATCATAGAATTTTTCTTATCTAATATTGTCATATACTTTATGAGAATAAATGTATCTACAAAATTTCAACTTCATATTTTAGAATAAATTTTCCTTGAACTTTTGTTTTGTATTCATAAAAAGAAATCATATAATTATTTTTCTTTTTTTTTTTGCATATATAAGTAATATAGAAAAGAGTATAATTAAGTGATATTGATTGTGCAAATATAAAGAAAAACAAAAGAGAAAAATATATATATATGTTACTTTTCTTGAAGAATTACAAATATTTATATGCTAATTATCAATATTGATCAAACATGTTCCATCAATCTTCTTCAATTTTATAGAATCAAATCATATTATGTTCGAGAAATGTTTTTTTTTTATATGAACTGAACTGATTAGGAATGAGACGGTTTTGTTTAACGCCCTCATGAAATATAAAAAAATAAAGAAAAAATATTACAATCAAACGCCATACCCTTAGATGTTTTAATAGCATAGGATAATTTACACAAACTTCTTAATTTATTATATATCCACACTCAATAAATATGTTTTCATATTTTTCCTTCTCGATGGGTTATCAATCAACTGATGATATGATTTGAATGGAAAGAACGCATTTATTTATCTAATCTTATTAGACAATCAATTATAGTAAATTCTTTATAATGCATATTTGTAATGTATGATACCCTTTGTAAGAAAAACAGATATAACGCACATCGATCGAACAGTCATATGAAAAAAAAAAAACAACAATCATCGTAGCGAAAATATCGATCATTTCCACTAAGAATCAATATTTAAGGCAAGAATCTCGTTATAGGTTCTTTCATGTATCGTGCTTTTTTTTTAATTCTAGAAAGTATCTCTTGAAATCTCTTGACACATGTATCCAGATATGATTTTTTTGGGATCGTGTTAACATACAAACATTCCTTGAAAAAGACATATTCTCAAAGCAGCTATCTTTTTTTTTTGTATATATATATATATTTTCTGTATTTCTTAATGTTCTTGGAAGAAAAGCCCTAGGAAATAATATTTGAAAATAAGCACTCGTAATCTATCACCATTAGTGACAACAAAAGTTGGTATTCATCTAATGTATAAATTCATTATGATTGAAAAACTAAATAAACAAACATCTTGTATGTTGATGATGATCCAGACAGATATCTATATTAATTATAATGATAATAATATACTAAAAGAAGTTTGACGACTTCCTATAACTGAGCAAAATCGAACTGCAGTTGATATACTTTAATCGAAACGACTTGTCATTCGCCATTAGTATGTCTATATCATGACAACTGCTACTGAGATTGTGCGTCAGATTTATAGAAAGAAAAACAACTAGAACTATATTGGTTTCTAATTGATGTTGTGCAATAAGTTCTCTATGAATATTTCGAAGAAAAAAAAAATGTGTGGAATCTATGATAATAAGATCCTCGATTGTTGAGTAGATGCTTCCACTATAACTTCGAATAATATTCATCCCTTGATATCATTTTTTACATTGCGAGATAATCGACACTATAATGTATTTTGCTTTAAGTATCATATGCTCTTTGACGTATAATTTTCTCTTTATTATGCGCTGTCAATTATAAGCAACAGCTTCACTATCCCAAGTATATGTAATTAAACTAAGGCATTTTTCGCTTGTAAAATATTGGATCTGTCAAACGATATTTGACATAATTCAATATTATGATAATGGACAGAAGAATGATTTTTGATAAGTTATTTATATTATTCGACCAATAGAATATTCTTATTGCATAAGTAAGACATTATTTGAAATTATGTAAGATGTAAGTTGAGAAAACAAAAACCGGAACAGATAATATGAGGTAAGAATCTGATTAACACAATGAGAAAAAGAAAAATAATTATAGGATGGACAAAAATTACTTTATAAGAAAAAAACAAAAAAACAGTTGTTAGCTGTTGAAATATATTAACAGAGCAACAGAAATAGACTCTGACTTATAATTGATATGTAAAAAATATTTCTATAGGATATTCATCAGTTAATAAACAGTTTATCTTTCCTAATCAAATTTAGCCAATTCCTGAGTCGATTAAATATAAATAGAAAAAAAAAAAGAAAATCATTGTATGGTATTGCCTTAGTATCTGATATGTTTCTTTTTTCTTTTTTCTTTTCTATTTTATAATTTATTTTAAAGATTTGAACAACTGGTACGATTCTCATTGAACTATTTATCAAAAGAAATCAATTACATGAATGCAACAAAATTATTCTCATTTTCTGTATTTCCATTACAAGAAGAAACAATCATGGATTATACATTTGATAAATTCATAAATTCAAATATAACTATAACTATACCATCAAATAAATCTAATTTTCATAATTTTATTATACGTAGTTTTAGTTTATATGCACTTGCGCTTGTTATTATTGGAACATTTGGTAATATATTAACAATAATTATATTATGTCGTCGAAATTTAAGACGTTATGTTACAATGAGATATTTAATTGCTGTTAGTGTATGTGATATTATAACATTATATGGTTGGAATTTAAATAATTTTTATAAATTTACAATTAGTACTGCGAATACTAATTTAGAAGAAATATCATTATTACATTGTCGAGTTGTATCATATTTAACATTTGTTGGTTTACAATTATCAAGTTGGTATTTAACAGCTGTTAGTTTAGGTAAGTTTGGATTGCTAAATTGTATTATCCCAAAGGAAAACTTCAAATTATCAGAAAACCTACACAAGATTGCCTTATAGAAATGTATAGTTCTGTTGAAGTAAACATGACATAAGTATAGCATATGAAAAGTACATTGCGCAGAATAACAAAGTTAATGTGATGGATATCATAAAATACATTTTAATGTCTAGATAATGAATATAATAACATAAAATAAATCACATTCACTAATTTTTATTAGTATGTAGTAACCATTACGTACATTTGGAATTGATTACAACCGTTTGTTTTTTATTGAAAAAATTCTTTTTTTTTGTAATACAAAAATTTCGATATTGAAAAACAACGGAACTTCAAAAGTTTTGTTTTTTAATATTATAGAATATATTTCTCAAGGCATCGATCTAAAATTCTTCATACTATCTATTTCTGATACGAGGCATAGATATATATTTAGCATTTCTTGTGGTCTATCATTGAATCTAAGGCATACACTAATTCATTTTTTTGCTTCTGGTAAATATCAAACATCTGATTCATTGTCTAATATAAAAAGGTTATTTTAATTAAAAAAAAATGGTCTATAATAAGTTATTTTTCTTATTCTTAGATCGCTGTTTCAGTCTTTATTTTCTAACATGGAAACACAGCTATGGTAAATTAACTCATACAAAATATTATATAGGTATATTAGCTATAGTTTGTTTACTTTTAAATTCTCATATATTATTTTTCAACGGTTATCGTAATGGTCCACCAAATTATAAAGTTCAATGTTATACAACACGAAGAAATCGTTATTATATATTTCCTCAATGGGAACGTGTTCATTTAGTTGTGTATAATTTATGTCCATTTATAATAATGTTATCATGTAATATCTATATAATATATATAACAATTCGTTCAGCTCGTATTCGTACAATAAGAAAACCGACTTCATTTGGAAAAAGTTTTCGTTCAAGTCCATCTCGTCATCGACAATTATCATTAATGTTAATAATTGTTACATTTGCATTTGTATTATTAACATTACCATCATGTATTTATTTTGTTTTTTTTCGTCATCGAATGTCATCAGAAAAATATTCTCGTAGTCATCGTCATATGATACAAATATGTTTAAGTAGTATACAATTTACATCACATGCAATACATTTTTTTCTATATTGTTTTTCGGCAACAAATTTTCGTAATGAATTACGTGATTTTATAACAGAAATATGTTTTGATCGATTAAATGGATTTAAATCTAATAAATCATCATCAACAACAGCACCATTAAAATTAACAATACTTGGTAGAAATAATCGAAATAAAAAGAAATTTGATACTGAATTTATATCAGAATATCAACAAACAGGATATCAAAATGCATTAAAAGAATTACAAATAACATTAGCTAATGAAGAACTAAACGAAAATCTTACTTCTAATGATCTTAGCACTTCAAATAATACTAATTAATGTGATATACAAAGAAAAATAAAAAACAAAAAAACAAATACAAAATTTTAAACATTTTGGTTTTATTTCTTAATGTAGAAAATATGTATGTGTCACATTTTGTGATAATAAACATTGATTAGTATTTATTTATAACGATCACATAATTGACCAGCTTTTTTTTTTCAAGTAACAATCATTAAAAAAGAAATCAAATTCAGAAAGTAATCATTGTTAGTTCATTGCAACTTTTTGTTTTTGTATATCTGACAAGATATTCTATTTTCAACGTTCACTTCAATTCATATCTATAAGCATTCGTTTTGTTGATAGATCCTATCGAATCTTTATTGTCAACTATAATTTCATAAAAAACAAAACAATTATGGTTTTGCTCATGAAGAAGATTATTCTAAATAATTAAAAGTTTTTAATCCGATATTTTGCCCATTCGAAATCCAAAAACGTGACGCTGTATACCATTGTAAATAACAGTTGTATTGTTCGACCTGGAGTAATTAGAATCATATGAGACTAGAAGACATACAATATGATATGACCTTATGTACGTCCCTTCTAAAGCTCTAAATATATAAATAAACTGTGCACTGAGTGTTATATTGACAGACAAAAAAAGAAGAATTCAATGAAGAAATGTCGACCAGATATTTCTTTTTGTGTATAGATTCCAAGGCCAATAGATTATCTTAAAAGCTTCAGCGTAAATGGATGTTTTCTTTTCCCAAGTTGATGAATGTACAAGAAACCTTGATTTTTGCCACATTTCTACGAAGAATGGATTGTTTTTTTTGGAAAATTCATCATGTTAAAAATAAAAGATTTATTTGTGCTGAAACTTTCAGAATAATTAATTTAAGAATTTTAGAATTTATACACAAGAACAATTGCAAGTAAAAGTTTTTTCATTAGATTTTTTTTTCTGTAAATATATTATGCAAGCCACAATGTTGTAAAACGGTCATAGTTCAGGAAGGAATGCCTATGAGCTCGTATCGTTTTCCGATTGTTTTCTAATATCATCTGGTTCGACTTATGAATAAAATATAAGATCAAATGCTTTTAATGATGTATGATGGTTTTCTCGCCAAGTTGTTTTTGTTAGAAGTCAGCAAGACATGACAAATGAAACTCTGATTATTCTTTCGAAGAACATCACAATTGAATGTTGAACTTTCATTTATATGAAGAAACTTTATAACTATTGTTTAAGTTTTTTTTTCAATATAAATTTAAATTTTTATTTTCTATTTTTTCAAAGAAAATGTATCGTTTTTACTAAAGACTTCATTTACTTATTCTTCTGGCTTTGGCCCGTAACTATTTTCTTTTAATATAACGCTCTCTCAGATCTTATATAGCGTCGTCTTTATTATCTTCTACATAACTAATTATATTGAAGCCAACGTAGATTTTATTGATTAGCAAATCATTTTATTTCAAAGAAAGAAAATTGATAATAACAAGAAGAAGATATATGCGAATTATATTCAAAACTGTATTTTTATGATTGTGTTTATATAAAAGATTTGCCAGTTTGAATTAATAGGTCAGGAAGGGAAATCAAGTTTGCTTCCAGAATACGTCATAAGTTTTTCGTAAAAGAAAATAATTTGAAATGAAAATCTACACTATTCGGTTTTGCTAGTGAACAGTAAACAAATCGTTAGTTACATCAGTAAATTGACTTTAGTTCCTTCAAGGTCCTATGAAAACAGGATTTGCTATAGACTATTAGACGCACCTGAAAAAGTTCTACAACATGGTATATTTGGTTTTTCATTTCTGAGTAGGTCACCTTATCCGACAAGGTCCTTTAAATGCCGTGGCCAGAGCTTTTGGTATGCTCTAAGCATTTGGGGACACATTTCTTCATCATCGTTCACTTAATACTCTTGAGCTGCAATAGTGAAGTAGATCATATATTGTAATGAGTGATGTGTGGTCTGTGATGGGGAGGGAACAGGGATCTGTCAAGGTCTGTAATGTAGAGGGAGAGGCGGGGGTGGGTGGAAATTTCTACCCTATGTACTTCAATGCTCCTTTTAGATCATGTTTCACAAAACTGGCAACATGCTTCAGATTTAGAACCCTAAAAGAACCTTTCATGTTTTCTGAAGGAATGAACTGTATTGGAACTAAGGTTTCTCCTGGGCTCCTCGTGATAAATGCTACTCTCTTAGTCAATAGAGTTTTTAAACTACTTCCGACTAAATGGTGACTGAATCGAAATCAAACCATATATAAATGAACAAGAAAAACAAATTCACTAGAATTCGACATTCGTCACATCTTACTTCCACAGACCGTGTCTGTGTTAGAATTGACGCAGAAAATAATGACTTTTTACGCACATAAAAAGCAATTCTTTTTGAGAAAAAAAAGAAAAGAAAAGAAGTATTCAAGTTGGAAAGTTCCGCTCGCTCCGAAAAAAAATTCTGTCAAGGTTAAATCAAAGCTGACTAGTTTCTTTCTTACAATTGACGACCTTACAATAAAAGTTCATTTTTAATATGATTGCTGCAGAAAATCCATTTGCTATAATCTTTTATACAGAGAAGTAATACATTATTTCTACTACAAAATTATCTTCTTGTGATATTCTAATACTATGTTTTAAACACCCAGACATCTTACTCAACTTATCTGCATAAGCAAACTGATGTCAGCTGTTTGCAGACTAAGTACTATATGGAACAAGATTAATAAGGCATTCAAAACAAATACAATTATGTTGGAAAAATTCCAGCCAGAAAGAAAAAAGAGAAAACCCTTTTCTTTCATCACATAAGTGAAGTTTTACACAACTCGTCTAAAACATTGGATGATTGACTCTCGGCAGTAGATAAAATAATTCATTTTCAAATGTGTGTTGTTCGTACGTCATCTGTTTATGGGCGTACGGCTGGTTTTTTCTCTTTTCCTACACATACTGTTGACTCAAAAGAAAAAATATAATCTTCGACATGTTTTTTCCTTTTACTTCTTTACACCAAAGCCCAGATAAATGATAAAAATAGTGGGAGAAACAATGGTTGTTTCCCACCGAATAATAGCAGCGTATCAAACGGGATGACAGACTGAGGTGACATACGATAGAAGCTAATGCAGTAACGCTGCGTTTTATAGCCCTTTTAGGCTGTATAAGACGCTGGTTCCGACGATCGGAATGACTATCTTGGTCAATAGCAGACTCTTGAATTGAGTCCCTTTAATGAATCCAACAAGTCTATAGTGATCATTCTAAGGCAGTATAGAAATCAGAAATACTAAAATTGTCTTTTCTAAATTTTTACAATAAGTATTTAACTTATTAGATATAGGTTTCTCACATAGATGATCATCGATTTAATGTCACCATTACCATCTGATGTCGTCAAATAAAAATCAAGATCGAATGATAACATAGCATCAATAACAATAATTGTGCATTCTCCAACAGTTGTAATAAGAATGAGGCAGAACAACAATTAGAGACATCAAGTTTAATCCTTACGAAAAAAATTAGACGTCTCAGGTAACAAATGAGCTGTTGAACAACTTCAATTTAAAGGAGATGAAGCTTTTCGCATAGCTCTAGCTCTTCGAACTGAAATGAAGTTGTCATATTCTTAATTCTGATGGCCATTCCTCTTTCTCTGTCACCATGAATATAGAACACGAATTATGTCATTATTTACGTTAGGTTTTCCTAATGAGAAACAGAAGCAATGTTTTATTTATTATTGTTAAAGGAAATTTCAAGCATCTATAATTTTTTACAACGCTCCTAATACATACAATATTCTCAAAAGACAAAAAAACTAAGAAGCAATTTTTATCCACAAGATGGTTGTTTGTATTGCTTCGCTTGCTCTTTGAAATTGTCTGCTTGTTGAATACATTCTTGAGCTCGTTCTCGAAAATATTGTGCCATTTCATTCCATAAACGTTCTAACAAATCATCTGGATGATCGAACATTAACAATTGGTCAATATAATCAATCGCCCAATTTGTATGTAACGCAATGGACGCACAAAAAACAAATATCCGTTTGATATTGGTACATTGAAATACTTGTGATACTACATATTCTGCTAGAGAACCAGAAGTAACAAGAAATATATTCTGCGTCATATGAGATTTTATGTATTCGATGCAATCATCTGCCTTATTAAAGATTTGTACCGACTGATATTGCATAAGTTGATCACGAAAGCTAGTGGTCGAATCAGAGTTTGTATCTAACCATATTAAATATGTCACCATTGTAAAAAGTACAGGCCAATAAACAAGCATTGTAATATACGCTTCTTTATATAGTATTGATAAAATCATGAAAATTCAAAAAACCAACTTTTTTACCAACTTTTACCAAGTATCACTTATGCATACTTCCGACACACACTCGTAAACAGATACTTTGATGGTTTTGTCCCCATATTTTCATGTTCTTTTCACCATATTTTCATGTTTTTTTCCCCATATTTTCATGTTTATAAATCGGCAAAATAATTTTTCTAACGAAATTGAATACACTCTAAGCAAATGACTAATGTTGTTGATTACAAAAACTTTCCAACATACATTAATTCACAATAATAACAACAAAAACATTCTATTCTGAGTATAAGGAAATGCATTCCGATTGGTTCTGATTTTTATGGCAGTCGTATGTCGACAAATATTTATTCGTTTTTTTACAAATTAAACAGAATTCTTCTTGTGTATGTTTATTATCATTATTCATTTTTAATTAATCTTCATAAAGATCGAAGGAATATTCATTGTCTAAGATTAATGTTAAACTAATCTTTATTTTCAGGACATACAATTCGAAGGAGGAGAAAAGAATTTTTCCCTTCGAAATTTTTATTTGCACTTAACCATTCTCTCAGAAAATTTTCGTCAACTATTGTTTAGCAAATTTCTTGAGTTTTGATAGCGTAAATGTAAGAAAAATGTGCAAAACTGACAGCTTTTTTCCTAATTTTTCAAAGAGAAAAATATCTTCTCGAAATGAGAAAGTTTTATTTGAAGATTTCATGGAAAATCACTTGTATTTAATAAAGAAATTGCTTTTACTACAGTTTTCAAAAAGAATCGGCCTTTTCCTTTCAAAGAAAACTTTCTTTGGTTTTTGGATGTTTTCTTCCTGATTTCTTCTCCCTTCTGAATAATATCAAAACAACAGTTCTGATTATTTAGGTGATATAAACTGCAATAAATGCTTCTTTCTCAATCAGAACAATGTTCTAAACACATACATGGATCATTCTGTATCGAAATGTACAAGTTTTAACAAATACATGTATTGAATGAGTATGGTTTAATATTAAAAATATCGTTGTTCATGAAATGAAATGTCTCATGTATTATTTATTCTAATATCTGTATGAATTGTGTACATCATCTATTATTTTAATTCACATGATAAGATAATGAGAAGATTTCATCAAGTAGTTTTTTTTTACACATTTATTTTGCTAAAAGAAAAACAAATCTATTCAAAAACTCGGTAGGTTATCATTTGTCACAAATTGTGGTTCCCTAAATCACTCCCTAAAAAATTTCCACATTTGGGGATACTCAACCAATTAAGGTATATTTTGGTGACCAAGTAGGGATTTTTTTTTAGGGATTTTTTTATTTAGGGATTTTTTTTATATATTGTATATGGTACCCTATTTCTGTTACGACATTATAACAACAAGAGTAAATGGTAGGTTATCATTTACCCCAAATTGGTCACCACAAATGCATTCCCAGAAAAATTCCCATTTTGGGATTTTTTTACCATCAAATATATCATACATCCTGTAGTTCGATACCATTCTTTTTCTTTTCCAAGACCACATTACCAAAAATAACACTTTCGAAGTCATATCTATTGGAAGTGCTTAGTTTGGATTAGCTAAACATAATAAAAGCAGTTCTATGATGAACCTGGTGACCAGAATGTATTTTTTGTTACTACAACGAACAATTTTGGGGTGAATCTGGTGACCAGAATATATTTTGGGTTGTCAAAAAGAGGACTTCGTAGCAATCCACAATGGATTCTGGTCACCAGATTCACCTCAAAATTGTTCGTTGTAGCAACCCAAAATATATTCTGGTCACCAGGTTCATCATAGAACTGCTTTTATTATGTTTAGCTAATCCAAACTAAGCACTTCCAATAGACATGACTTCGAAAGTGTTATTTTTGGTAATGTGGTCTTGGAAAAGAAAAAGAATGGTATTGAACTACAGGATGTATGATATATTTGATGGTAAAAAAATCCCCAAAATGGGAATTTTTCTGGGAGTGCATTTGTGGTGACCAATTTCGGGTAAATGATAACCTACCATATACATTATATAAAAAAAATCCCTAAATAAAAAAATCTCTAAAAAAAATTCCCTACTTGGTCACCAAAATATACCTTAATTGATTGAGTATCCCCAAATGTGGAAATTTTTTAGGGAGTGATTTAGGGAATCACAATTTGTGGCAAATGATAAACATTCCAAAAACTCCTATCACTATGTGGAAAGATAAGAATTTCTGAAGTAGGTAACTTTGATAATCGTCGAGAATGTTTGCCAAATAATATAAATTTTTTATTGTGCAATTGCAATCTATACAAAGTGCAACAAACAAGAAGGAAATATCCAAGAAAAGAAAATTCTATGAATGATGAATAATAAATGCATGATGAAAAAGGAAAAATCCAAACGATAAAAAAAAAAGGAAAAAACCCGTTGTGTTTGAAGAGCAATAATGAGACAGAAAATGCGTCATAAGCATACGGTGTAATCATATAAAACAATCACTGAATAGACTTAGAATACACTATGACATCTTCCTTCCTTACAACAATGAATGTTCACAATAATGAATGGTGGGAAAAATGTCTTTACAAAGAAGATTGAAAAGCATAAGTTAATAATGCGTCCTTTGGCTTGCAAAACTCTTATCAACAGTATTACCACGCTGGAGACCAACCGGTTTTATTGTCGTGTCAGTGTGAGTGGAAACGAAACGTACGATTACCTAGCTGTTCATTTATGCATGCTATTTTCTACATGTATAGCTTTGGTTATGAAACATACAGTTCTATGATAATTTATTGCCTAGAATACAATATTCTCAGTAGTAAGACTATCAATGTAGAGTTGTGGAGTCATTCGTGTTGATGATGTATCAAAAATAGTATAATCTTTTTCTCGTTAAACATTACTGAAGGTATAATATGAAAAGGAATCTTGTGTGTGTTGTTTTTGATCGCTAAACTAGCCTACCCTTCGACTGTTAACTTCGATTGCAAGGAGCTAGCGACGGAGCCGAAAAACTTGAACTAAACAGTTCCACTCATGATTTTTCTCCGAAAAAAATTTGCGTGAATTTCACAAACAATAAAGTCTGTAACTGGAAAAACTGTGACATAATCTTTGTTTCGTTTCCACAGGTGTCGTACGTAGAGTCCATCGGGTCCATGATTTTTTGCACCAGACTTGGATTCGATCGGTTAAGTTTTTTCTAAACCCAGACCCGTCTGATTAATTTTTTTTACACCCTAACCCGGATCCGGTTCATCAAAATTTTCTGATCCAAATCCAACTGATTAATTCTTTGTTGATTTGGACATGAATCACACGTTTGAGACCCTTAGTGAGAATGAATAGAAATTAAAGAAAACAATTAAAAATTATTATGTATAGTGGATGTTTTTCCTTATCAATAAAGATTTAAAGATCCGGACCCAATAAATTCAAAATTTTCAGCCTCGAATCCACTTGGACCCGGATCAGATCCGACGAACTCTAGTCGTAAGAATAAAAATAAAATTTACTTTTTCATTATTGAACATACTAATTCACAAGTGGAAATTTTCTCGTTTTTAAGAAAGCCAATTCCATTGTATTTCTTAAGAATGAATGAAACATTGATTTGCTTACGTTTTTTCTTTATCATTATTGGTGTACGATTTCTTTTCCTTTTTTTATTTTCGTTTTTCTACGTTTTGTCTATGTAAACATGCTGATAATACAGTAATATGATCTAAGTAGTTGAATTAAGACAATTTATCAATAGATGGAGGAAGTACAAATACTGATCATGAGTAATAACAGACCTATATAAAATAAAATTGTCTAACCATTAGACAAATACATTTTCAACATATTTCTCGAGTCTTATGGACAGATTATTACTGATTGTTGTATTGATCTTCTTAGTTTACTTTCCTGGTTTGTCATTAATTTTTTGTTTTGAAATAATCCTCTCGTTTCTATCACAGGCAATATTGATGGAAATGAATGTTATAATTGTTTAAGTTCATGTCCTGACCCATTCAATAAAACGAATGCTATAGTACTGGAATCACCATTTACATGGTGTATAGTATGTATCTATGATCATATTTATTCGTTAAGTTTTTGTTTTTTTCTTTTAGAAATTTAAAGCATTAAAAGCTCATGATTCGGTAGTGATTCGTTCTTTTGCACCGTATGGTTTATGTACTGAAAATAAATGTAAATCATCTAATCATAATGATATCAAAGGAATTATGTGTTGTTGTAATTCACAATTATGTAATAATTCAAATACAACAACAATCTCATTAAGTTGTTTTATGGGATTAATAATAATCAGTGCAATGAATTTAATTCTCAATGAATGACTTTATTTTTTTTTCTGTTTTTTTTTTGTTTTCATAGTCCTATATCTGTCTCTTTTTTCATACGAGATAACTGACTAGTGATGATGTGTTATCTTGTATCATTTTAATAAAAATATGTTGACGCTTTTTCTGTTGATTTTTTTAACTGTTGGAGTATCCACAATAAACGGTTATACTTGTACTTGTTGTTTTCCTGGTCAACCACATACATGTCAAACACCTGAAATTCCTCTTTCTTCTTGTGCTAATTGTACAAGTGTTTTTTGTGCAAATCATGTAAAAGGATGTCAAAGTTCAACTCCATGTAAAGTTGAATGTAAATCGGGTTCAAGTTCAATAAGCACATCAACAAAAGGTTCTTCTTCAATGTCGACAATCAATACTATACCGAATAATACATTTACTGTTGGAATTGGATTTATTATGATTTCTGTTGCTTTGACATTGTTGGTTTTTGTCAATTGAGTGTTTTTTTAAAAAAAAAAGAAGATTTATATTGAAATAAAATAAATAAAACAAAAATTTCTTTACAGTTTTTACAAAATTTAGATTAAGAAAAAAAAGTAAATGAAACGTAAACACAAAAAAAAATTGCGCTTCTTACTTTGTTTTAATAATGTATAAAATTTCTTATTTTCTTATTTTTTATTTTTTAATATCAAATATTCATGGAGAATGTTTAGAATTTAGTTATAATTCAGTAAAGAGTATTAAACAAACTTGTGAAATATTGATTTCAAATCATAAAGGTTTTCAAAAATGTTTAAAATGTTCAATAAATAGACCAATGATACCGTTAGAAAATATAACAATAGCTCAAAATTGTTCACCTGTAGTCGAACTTCAATGTGTAGAATTTGATTTTAATGATACTCAAACATTTCTTAATTTTTCTCAGCAATATTGGAATGTAATCAATAAATTATTCGATAAAAATATATCAATAAAGAAAACATTGTCAAATGGATTGTTTATAAATATTGCATATGATTCACTTGATGTATTAACTTTACAAACAATTCAATCATTTGAAACTATATCAAATCGAAATTTTAATGGTTTAAGATTAGTAATGAGAAATCGTGGTAATCGAACAAAACTTTATATTGATTCTAATATTCAAAATACAACATTTCGTGTTTTACAAATCTACATTCATTGTGGTGATACACAAGGCTGGAATATTTATAATTACGTTCATCATAGTAAAAATAAACAACAACCTAACTACATTGAATGCCAAATTCCTACTACAACATTGATTACAACTACTCAATTGACAACAGCTATACGACATACTACATCTACCACATTCACTTTATCTACTACTACTACTACTACAGAAAATTCCAGAATACGTATTTCGTCTACCACTGATAAAACAACCACCACATACATATTATCTAGTAGTACTAAAAATCTCATACGTACTTCGACTACTACTAATAAACCAACTACTACATACATTTTACCTAGTACTACTAAACATTTCAAACGTACTTCGTCTACTACTCATAAACCAATCACCACGTACAAATTATCTAGTACTACTAAAAAACTTAGAATACCTACTTCATTTATTACTAATAAACCAACCACCACATACAAATTATCTAGCACTACTAAAGAACCCATACGTACTTCGACTACCACTCATAAACCAACCACTACATACACATTAACTAGTACTACCGAAAATCTCATAAGTACTTCGATTATTACTACTACTGAACCAACCACCACATACATTTTACCTAGTACTACTGAAAATCTCATACATACTTCATCTACTACTTATCAACCAATCACCACATACACTTTATCTAATACTACTGAAAACACTAGAATACTTACTTCGTCTACGATTCTTGAAACAGAAACACAAATTACATTATCTCCAACTAAAACAACAACAACAACAACAACAACAACAACTATTGTCGAATGCTGTAAGACTGAACAATCATTAACGATTACTCTCTTAGTTACTATAACTACTAGAATTCATAGTTCTTCAAAATCGATAAAATCTACAAAACAAAATGAATCCAAACTAACTCTTATTTTAAGTTTAGTTATAATTGGATGTTTACTATTATGTCTTTTGGTTGCCTTTATTTTATATATGTTACGCACCAGATATAATCGAAACGAAGAAAGACAATTAAGTACATCATCTCATGTAATCGATTCAATAACAAATGCTGAAAGTGGAATATCAAGCAAATGGATTAGAAGCTCATTTTAATTATTTTTATATTATAACATAAGAGTGTTTTTTATTCTCTATTCGAAAAAGAATGAAGACTAAATATATCAAAAAATGTAACTAAAATTTCTCTACTTATGCTAGTCAAAAAGTCTCGAAAAGTTTGTAACGGCTTCTTCAGCTAACGTCAATGGCTTTTTTTTTCATTCTTCGTACCTTATAAGCTAAAGTATAATACCTACTTTTTCATACAGAACAATTCTTCATGTTTATCTTTAAAGAACAATAAACTCTATTGAAAGCTATCGAAGAAGAATTTTTAATTCTCAAGTAATGTACAATCGTTGATAAATCTATTTCATCATATAATACGAAGTACTATAGAGTATTAGAAATGTTTTGACATGATCTTCACTTCTTAAATTTGTAAATTTTATTCGTAGAGAATTATTATCGAATTTTTTTTTCGCAGTGTTTTCCAAAATGTTTGAATTGGCACATGAAAAAAAAAATCTATGATATTATCAAAGAATATTACAATAGGTCAGAATTGTTCAGCATTCTTTGAACTTCAATGCGTAGAATTTCATTGTAATGATATTGAAACTTTTTGTTTTTCATTTCTAACATGAATATTATAAATAGATTCTCCATGAATATGAAATATGATTAATTTAAAGAATCAATTCTGAAAATAATTTAGTCGTTTGATTATATATCAGATTAAAATCATCAAGATTTACGATTGATTATGAGAAATCGTACACCTACACCGAGGCTCAGGTACAGTACTGAATAAAAAGGCTCTTTTTATGTTTCGTAGAATATCCTAAAAGCTTCCTAGTATTCATTTTTTATTTCTCACATCTATCACTGTCTCTTATTTATTTGTTTTGTGATAAAACAAATCATATTAAAAACTATTCAATACTATTATGAAAGTTATATATCGAATCAAACAAATTTAACTATTTCTCTACATTTTAAGTATCTTCTAAATCATCAATCTCTAAGCGTTATAGCTTACGATTATTTACAATAAACTTCAAACACAATCGATTTAATAACAACATCATTCTATCAGTAGCTATAGTCGAAAGAATAGAAAAAAAAGAATCTTTCCACGTGATACTTAGTAAGGTGTACTTGTGCAAATAAACGATAAAAAGCTTAATAAATATTCTACTCTCTATCGACAGTATACGAGCCCAAAAAATGGCTGAAAAAACTCCAATAACAATTGCTATAATGACTCCTGGTGATATGGTAAGAATAGTATTCATGTATTGTTTAGATTTTCTATTAATTTTTACTTTAAAGGGACATTCTATCGGTCAAGTTCTTCTTTCTTCAATTAAAAATAAATTTCGTATAATTACAAATTTAACAGATCGTAGTGAACGTACACAAAAATTATCAAATTTAGCTGGTATTATTGATGTTAAAACAGATGAAGAAATTATACAACAAGCTGATTTTATTTTTTCTATTCTTGTTCCATCACAAGCAAATTCAGTTGCACAACGTTTTGCACCATTTCTAAACAAAAATAAACATATTATCTATGTTGATATGAATGCAATAGCGCCACAAACAGTCCGTTCTATAAGTACACTTTTTCCATATGGAAATTTTGTTGATGGTTGTATTATTGGTCCACCACCGGGTTCTCATGAACATATACCAATAGTGTATTTATCTGGTGAATATGCGCAAAAAATAGCTGATCTATTTCAATTTACAGATTTAATAAATGTATCTGTCATTGGAAATGAAATCGGTCAAGCAAGTGCATTAAAAATGTGCTATGCTTCGTTAAGTAAAGGAATAACTGCAATTGCTACTCAAGCATGTATAACAGCAAAATTCTTTGGACTTGAAGAAGTATTTTTTAATGAATTAAAACAAAGTATGCCTAATATATTTGAAAAGTTAAATAAATCAATTCCACATATGCCACCAAAAGCAGCAAGATGGGCAGGTGAAATGGAACAAATTGCAAAAACATTTGAAAATATCGGTTTATCTGAAAAAATGTTTCAAGGAGCTGCTGAAACATATCAATTTATTGCCGAAAAAACACCATTAGGAAATGAAATAATTGAAGAAAGAAAACGAGGACAAACATTAAATGATGCTTTAGAAATAATGACTCAATCATTAAAGAAAAAAACCTATGATGAATAGATTTATTAATCACATTAAATGATTTCATTGTGGTATTTTTATTTAAAATAACAGATGATCAAAATTTTTTTAGACAAGATATTTATTTGCTTTTGACATTTTGTCCTGCTTGAAAGTATTTCAGACGAGCCAAAAACTATAGATCGCGACCAGATTTTGAATACGGATTTAGAAATGTGGTGTCTATTTTTGTCCACAAGTAGTAAGGAACTTGTTGAAAGATCTGAAAAATTATTTTTAATAGCGAGACCACAAATTTTTGTTCATTCTATAAGTTCCTTTTAGCACATGCTAAAAATTATCGAAGTCAAAGTGTTTTTTCAAGAGATTCTTTAAAGATAAAATAATTGTCGATTTTTCAAAAATTATTTTACTACTCTCAAAACAAAAATTGAGATGAAATTTCTAAGTACATATTTGAAAAGAGCACAAAATTTTCGTTCTAACTCATAGCTGTTGATTGCTCTGAAATATGTCAAAAGTGAACAAACATCTTGTCGAAAAACTTTTCGATCACTCATTATCATATATTTCTTTTCTTTTTCTCACAAAAAATTTTAAATAGAATCATTCATACTTAATTATTTGAATTTTTAAAGAGTATGTCATTGACCTTGATCTATTCAATAAAGAAGATTAAGTTTTAATGTCATTTTGATTTTTTGTTTTTTCTTGCCTTCATTATAATAAATTCTCGTATACATACAATTGAAATAGATAGTTACAAATAACATGAAACTTTATTGAAGAGAAAGAAAAAGAATCGAAAAAAGTGCAAGAGAAGAAAAAGAAATTATCATGCACATGTTAATGTTTAAATAAATAAAACAAAAAACTTCGAGAAAATAAGATAAATGAGCATCGAAAGAACTAGAATGTGTTAATAAAGAAATGGCTGCATATTTCATATACATAGTTCATAATTTACATTGAATTTATGTAAAATGGTGTTCAATATGTTCGTTCTTTCCATCGAGTGTCATATGTGGTGGAAATTCCCAAAAACACATTGGACATTTACTTATTTCACCATCAGCATCATCAAATGTTCTTTGTAATGATGTATTTTCATTTTCTTGATCATTTTGATCTTCTTTTTTCGCTTGTTGAGGTTCATATCCATCACGAAGAATTGATTCTATTATTTCTTCATTATGAACAGATTCGTCTATTAAATTTTTTGTTGTTGATTTTTCTTGTGAATAATTCATTTCCATATTATGTTCAAGTGCAGTATATTTTCGGTACAATGTTTTATATTCTTCAGCACCAGCTGATAATCGTTCAGTTAAACCTTGAATTTCGTGTTGTAAATCATTCTAAAATTAAAAACAAAACAGTAAGTCTTCATGAATAATGATGAAAACACTTTTTAAAAAATTGTCTATATCTAAAGATGGAACCGATCTGTAGTTCACACTGGTACGAAGCTAATGAGTTGTCGTATTATTCCATCTATGGATAGAGTAATATTTGACATAGGCAACTTTCAACAAAGTTTCATTATACATTCTCGATGAGATAATAAGAGCAAAAAAACAAACAGACACACACCGGTATCGGTTCGATCTCGAGCTATATCAATAAATGAGAAACAATATATTAAGTTCTAGAGATGGGAAGTAGGATAATCCTGCATATCTCTATTGAGCTCAAAAAAAATTTTTTTTTAAGAAAAAGGATATCTACAGAGAACAAAATATGTAAACTTTTGGCAGTAGAAAAGAGCTCAACTTACAATGAAATCTTTGTAAACAGTTAATTGTCGTTTAACTTCAATTTCACTTTTTTGATGTTTAACACAACGTTTTTCAATTTCGGTAAATGAAGTTTTTAATGTCATATAAGCTTGTTGGCATGAACTCATTTCATTTAATCGACTTTTTAATGATTCAATTTCATTTTGTGTCTAAAAAATAAATACGTATATAAAAAAAAAGGAATTTATTCTTTTCTTACTAATTCATTCTCTATACGACGTTGTTCATATAATTGATCTAATTCATTTTGTAATGTTTGTGTTAATTCATTATCTTGTTTAGATACTAATGATAAAGATTCATTGTTAATTTTTAAAGAATTTATTTCTTCTTGTAATAAATTATTAGTTGTTTTTAATGCATTGATTTCATCATCTTTTTGAGTCGATTGTTTTGAATATGTATCAATATGTGTTTGAATTAATACTTGATTTTTTTCTGCTGTTAAACGAAAATCACGTATTTGTTGTTCAAGTAATGTTTGACGTTGATTTGATGTTTTTGTTAATTCATTTGATTGCATTAAACGACGTTCTAAATCAATAATTTGTGTTGCTTGATCTTTTGTTAATTGTGATGTTATAGCTAATTGTGAACGAATTTGATTTGTTTCATTTAGAGTTTTACCATGAGAATCTTCAAGTGTACGACAACGTTCAGCATATTGTAAAGATTCAGCTTGATATTGATTACATAATGAACGACATGCATCATATTCAGTACGTAATTTTGATTCTAATTGTTGTCGTGATGATAATTCATCAATGGCTGTTTTATGTGATGCAATCAATGTCTAAGAAAATATTCAAAGTTTTATTTATTTGTATAACTAATGGCATAGTGTTCCTTTTTTTATCTCATAGTCTTATGAGGAAAGTTCTCCTATTGATTAATCATTTTTGAGTCGAGGAATGATGTATATGATGTAGGTCCATATGAGTTTTGAATATCATGAAAAGAGTTTGGAGTCTTAGCTTATTACTGTGTGCAGATACTACAAATTTACTGCCGTAGTCTCTCTCAGGAAAATTGATTTTTGAATTTCGATTTGAAATTTTGCAAAGAGGTAGATGTTAGTAAGAATAATGTATTATGAAAGTTTTCAGTTCTTTTGATTTGCTTCTATACTGAAATACGAATATTAAATCTGTTGATTTACATAAGTGATGTGTAAAAGACATGCTTTTATCAACATAGGAACAGCAACAAGATCTGAAACTGTTCTTGTCAAAAGACTGCTTCTATACAAAGTTTTAAGTCGAAACTCAAAAATTAGTTTTCTTGATGTTCACCACGGTATTCATTAAAGATCCACCGTCAGTTTTTTATCTAGATTTTCCTTTCCGGAGAGGCGCTTTAAAACTCCCGGGAAGATGAACAATTATTTTTGGTAGCATAGACACATAGTAAACTTTTTCCCACAATATAAGATCCTCTCTCAATTAATTTCTCAAAACAATTAGATCTTTAATTAGTGTATTTACATCAAAATTAACTTATCAGTGGTGAGTTTTCCTCGTTAATCAGAAAGAGATAAATTTATCTATTTAATATTATGAATAATTCTTTTGTTGACATATTTTAAAATGAATGATAATATTAATCATATTTTTCTTGTTCTGACTAAACTTTGAAGATAAAAAAAAATGCTTTTGTTTTTTTTTTACATCGAAATTTTGTAATACTCAAATTTCGTAATTCTCTTTTTTTTTTTATTCTTTCTAAGGAAATCTTATTTTTGACCTACTTGCATTTCATTATAAATTTTATGATTATGTTCTTTTGATTTAATTTCTAATAAATCTAATTTAGCTTTATATTCATCTTTTTGTAATTCTGATCGACGATTGAAATCTAATAATTGTCGATTTTCTTGACGTAATTTTTCTTCTGTTAACATTCGTCTTGTATGTATAACAAGAAGATCACCATTATCATCATCAGCTAATGCAATAAGACCATCAGGTTTTGTTTTTCTTATTGGTTCATTTGATAATAAATCAATATCATCGGATGCACAATTTAATTGAAATGGTATTGATGAACCAAGATTTTTTGTTTTATTTATAATATAACAAAATTGATAAAATTCATCATCAGTTACAGGTAATGATGATGATGAAAATGTTGCTGTACCATGACGAGCTGAACCTGATGTTGTTGATGGATTAAATTGTACAGGAGCATATGCTACACATTCTTTAATATTTGTACAACCAACCTAGAAAAAAAAAAGTATTTCGAATAAGACAAAAAAAAAAAAAAAGTAAAGAAAATTCTTACTCGTAATAAACCAATTTGATCTTCGTCTGGGTTGACCTTGACATCATGTATAATAGTAAAAAAAGCTGTAACATCAGCACCTTTTACATATTGATCAGCAACATTTTCAAAAACAACTCGATCATCTTGTTGTCGTTCTAATGCATGATCAAGTGGCCAATTTAAATCTGAACTTGTATCTGAACATTGATCATTAATGTCAGTCATGATAGTTTATTTTTATTTTGTTCGGTGTATTTACGTACAAAACCAAAAAAGTCGATCTACAATAAAAACCATACATTTATATAAATATGCATAGACAAAATGTACTATGGACTATGAAAGTGCATTCAGCATATGACTAATGTGTGGCCTACAATATGCATAACCTAATAAAGTTACAAAATGAATAAAATGAGACAAACAAAAAGGAAAAGAACGACATATAAATGTATGAGAGACTGAATGAATCAATAATAATAACAAAACAAAAAGGTTTTTATATATTCTTATTTGAGTAAAATGATTATTCAGAGATATTGCGTCATATAGAAGAAAAACATAGAAATTTCCAAATCAAATAAAAAGAATTTTTTTGATTCACTAAACAATATTCCGGATGATTCGAAAAAGCGACATCTTTTGGTTGAGTTTGATCATCATCGAGGCTGTTGATAATAATAAATAAAATGGTAGAGTATTTATAAGTTATCCATTTTTGGAAAACATAGTTCATTTATTTACAACAATTAACTGATATTAGACCATAATTAAAATATCATCATGGTATGAAGAAAATTTATTTATATTTTTAATAACTATTTCTTTTCTCAGGGGAATATGACATCAATACCCGTTGAGCTTTGTGCTACATGTAAAATTTTATGTTTTTGTTTTTGTTTATTTTTATTCGTTAATTTTTATAGTTGATGCTGATGAAATACGTCGGTTAGGTAAACGTTTTAAAAAGCTCGATATTGATGGTAGTGGTTCATTAAGTATACAAGAATTTATGTCTATACCTGAATTACAACAAAATCCACTTGTACAACGTGTTATTGATATTTTTGATACTGATGGCAATGGTGAAATTGATTTCAAAGGTAGTTTAATTAGAAAATTACTATTTTTCTTTTTCATTTAGGAGGATTTAAAAATAAATTTCAATTTTATTTTAGAATTTATTGGTGGTATTTCACAATTTAGTGTTAAAGGAGATAAAGAATCAAAACTTAGATGTATGTATATTGATGTTATTTGAAAAGAATAAAAGAATTAAACGATTGATATTGTATTTTAGTTGCTTTTAAAATTTATGATATGGATAAAGATGGATTTATTTCGAATGGTAATTAATTTTTGTTTATCATAGAATCGAGAGTCTTTTTTCGTGTAAACAAATTTAATGAAACAAAGTTTGTTAAAGAATATATAAAAAAGAAGTGGATTTTAGGAATCTTAGAAGCCAGTTGTTTCTCTTAGGTAAAAAGATTTGAAGGTATGAATTTTGTGAAAACTACAATTACGGATGAATATTGAAGTTATGACAAACACGAATATTTTTGATGTATCATAATAAATGCTATAAACTTTTTGAAATATTCAACAATATCGAAAAATAAGTATAGAAATCTTATTTACTATGTCATGGTGATTGACATTAAAAGAAAGTTTGATTTCTTTTCTTGACACTAAACATGAGTAGATTCGGTCTTTTTTAATTTTGATCGTGATTCGATAGGAGCTGAAATTGTTTCACCTTGATGCAACAGTAAAGCGATGCACCGATCTTACGTACAGTTTTGCACTGGTCTCAACATGTACGTATAGACTTATGGTGAATGCCTGATAAAACTACGGTTATTTTCGATTGATTTTGATTTTTTTCGGTCGCAGGGACCATTGCAAGAATAGACTAAAGGTTTTCGGCACTCAGGAGTTCAAAACAATAGGAAATTTTTCAAAATTCTCGAGTTCGAGAAAAACTTTAATTCTCATGTTTTATAAAATTTAGCTATTTGCTTGAAATAGATTTCCCCCAATCAACATAATTCAAATGAATTTAAGATTACCGTTGTTCTATATGTGCATGTCTAGATCAGTGCATTGGTGATTACTAGAGCTTGTCGATTTGGTTCGGATCCGATAAGCTCTAATGATCACCATCGTATCTCTATATCCAATAATATAATATTCCATGTGGATTTATTTTGCATTTAGAATTATGAAATAGATAAAAACGAATCTAATTGACATTCTTATTTTTGTTTATAGGAGAATTATTTCAAGTGCTAAAAATGATGGTTGGATCTAATTTAAAAGATTCTCAATTACAACAAATTGTTGATAAAGTAAATATAGTTGATATTTTCTTGAAGAGAGAGATTGTTTATTTTTTTCAATTTTCATTTAAATAGACAATTATCAATGCAGACAAAGATGGTGATGGTAAAATAAGTTTTGATGAATTCTGTGCCGTACGTATATTTCTTTTGTTAATTATTAAGATTTATTTATTTTTTTCTAAACTTTCGCTGCTCTTCTTCTCCTTCTTTATCTTCAAGTTATTTTCACTATATATAAATATAACATTTGTATTGCACATCCTTCTTCTAGTTTATCCCTACTTATGAACTCAACATAAGTCTGCCGAGTAATATCAAAATTTAAATTATCATGGGTAAATTTTCTATTGTCGGTTTGATTGGTGTATTGTAATCCTAATTATTGTATTTATCTGTATAAATATAATGTTGTCATTCTTGTTTATACAAAGTTTCTTTTTATTATTATTATTGTTATTATTATTATGATTCTTTTATTTATTTTTTTAGTGTGTTGGGGATTCATTAATTGACGATATTCAAAAGAAGATGACAGTAGCTGTTTAAAAAATAAAGACAAAAATGAACATGTTTTGCTTTTTATCCTTTTCTTTTCTTTTCTTTTTTTTTAAATATCCCAACAACACATCATGCTCAATGCACAAATATATAAACATACTGGTTTCTTTTTTTTAAAATTCCTTCTAAATACACGCATATACTTTTTACTGATATTCTTTAAATGGATTTTCTTCTAACATTTCTGTTTGTTGAATCTCGAAGTGTTTTATTTTATTGTTTTTCTTTGCTGTATCTCTATGTTTATGTAAGTGTTGAACATAAACAGTGAGATTTATTATTAACAAGATTATTATTATAATATTCAATTGTGTATTGTAATGTGACTTAGTGTTTATTAGTGTGATCTGGTTTCTTTTTTTAATCGTATATATATTTTTTTTTTCGCTTGTCCGTATTTGTCGTAATTTTGTGCGTGGCAAAAAAAAGCAGAAAGGAAGAATCTTTTTTTTTTGTTTCTCTGCTATAAAAAAAGAAAAAAACAAATTAATCTTGTAATTGAAATTAAGAGTATGATTATGAATGAAAGTGCAAAGAGTCTTTTAAAAAAGATGATATGAATATACATTAAAACCTTTACCAGCGAACATCTCCTAGTTATGAACGGTCTCGAATTCGATGGAACGATTTTACTGTAAATGCCTCTCTCTAATTTGAACATGATTTTTTTTATTGCACTCTCTTTTCTGTCGCTTGTTTCATATGCACTACAAATAAGTGTATTTTGAGTATGTTGTATGGGTAAAATAAAGAATGATATCATGATACGAGCTTAATTCGCAAGAAAAAATACTATTAATTGATAATAATAAAGATACATATTGTTTATCACGACGTAAATTGGATGAAAAATATAATATATTGTTTAGCTTTCTATTAAATATTTTAAAACAGAATATTGAAATGATTATGAAACAAATCAGAATCAAAGTGTTAGACGAAAATTAAAAGATATCAAGGCACAAAAACTAGATGATCAAGTGTACGAATGGTTTGTACAATAAGTTACAAAAAAAAACTTAGTTTAAAATCAGAGACAAACAATATTAGAGAATTCTTTTTAGAAATAATTAAATTGCGTATTATACTTTGTAAATCTTTTGAATTCAACTCATTTAGATGAAAGCAAATTTTTTAGAACCTTTTCTTTATTTCACAGCAAATCATACTTCAATTCTATAAAGTGAACATCCCTGTATAGTGAATACTTTTAAATGGTTCTGATGGTGTTCACAATAGAGAGATTTTACTGTCTTATCATTGTTTCGAGCATAATAAAATTGTGTTTTATGATATCATTCGATAGAATACGTAAGAAGTCGATGGGATGATCAAATTATGAAAATTTTCACTTTCAAAAGAGATATGATTATGGCTGATATTGAAGTATTCTATTTTCGACTTCTCATAAGGATATTGACTTGAAGCCATCGATACCAATGTTAGTAGATGTCTTTAACAAAGCTAATAGCTATTAGTGCAATCTCTACCAGGTTAAAATGTGAAACACAATGGAGCCGTTGGTATTGTGCAAGAGAAAATTAATCGATATATACAGGGTGGCCCAAAAGCCACGCACCCGAAAAAAAATTGAATATCTCTATTATGGCTAGAGCAAACTAGCTGATTTTTTTATCAATGCTAGAGGCATGTTCAAGCTTTATATCCAGAAAGACATGCCTAGAGAAGTCCTTTGTTAAGTATCACTATTAATCGCAACAAAAAAATTCTACTTTTTTTTTACAGATGAAAAAAAACAACATACTTAACAAAGGATCTCTCTAGGCATGTCTTTATGGATATAAATCTTGAACATGCCTCTAGCATTGATAAAAAAATCAGCTAGTTTGCTTGAGCCATAATGGAGATATGCAACTTTTTTTCGGTAAAGTGACTTTTGCGCCACCCATTACATTGTTTTTTTTCCATCTGTGAAAAGTTAACATTTTTTGGTTAAAGTCAATAGTGACACTTAAAAAAAGGGTTCACTCTCGCCTTATCTTTATGGATATGGAGTGTAAATATGCGTTTACTAGTGGTAAAAAAATCAGCCAGTTTGCTAGAGCCGTTATGGAGATATTCAATTTCTTTTCGGATGCGTGACTTTTGGGCTACTCTGTATTTCAATTTATGAATTTCTATGTACTGCTAATGCATGTCGGTGATGAAAGATATTAATTGCAGTAAGTGTGAAAGAAAAGTAAAGAACAACTGTCATGTGAACTCCGCAGTAAACTTTGGTTTTGTGGTTATGTCTGTCACAGTATGTGATAAACCATTGCTAAGGTATTTACAGAGCGAAGAAGAGAAGGGGCATATTTCTACCCTTATACTTCAACACTTGTTTTGAGTCGTATTTCACAAAATAGTGAGCTAATCTATGTTATTATTCGAGTGGTTATACCAATGAATCGAGAGTAATAGAAAGTATTATGAAATGTTTAGCTTGTTTCTATAGTAATATTTATTCGTTATAGTTCTGAATATTCATGTTCGTCTATTGACATGATGTGAATCAATCGTTGGAATGAAAGAAAAATAGAATATGAATTATGTTACCAATGATAAAATATTTGTGAATCTTATTTTTGGTATGAAATATAGAATTTATCAACACTTTACATCTTTAGCATCTACTCTTGTATACTATTCTTATATGTCTAGATAAATTCGTCCTAATTGTAAACTCTATAATTTATATCAAAACTACGATTCACAAGCATTTTGCCATTGGTTGATAGACAATATCTGTTAGAATTCCGTATTGTAATCTCGAGATTCCACCATAATTCCGCTATTCTAAGGATTCATCTTATATCTTCAGAGATTTAGAATCTTGAGAATACGTTGCTTTAGGGTGCACTAAATCCTATTTTTCTATGTAAAGCTTACAAATTTTCGATATAACGGTCCACCAAATCCAACCAAATCTTTATGTTGATTATAACCAGTTTTAATTGCTCTACTCGATAATGGTGTAAAATGACCAAATCCACTCAAGACACTTCTAAGGTTCGGTAGGATTTGGTGAAAATATGCACTTTTTACTAAATCCCACCAAAATCTTAGAAATGTCTTGGGTGGATTTGGTCATTTTACGCCATTATCGAGTAGAGAAAATAAAACTGGTTATAATCGACATAAAGATTTGATTGGATTTGGTGGATCTTCATACTGAAAATTTGTAATCTTTATATAAAAAAATAGGATTTGGTGTATCCCTACGTTACTTCCTTCCTTGTTGTGGAATATAGCATGATTTAAAGATGTCGGCAATATCTTACCAATAATAATGTGTTGGTAAATCTCATGATTTTGTCTTTTGTCTTTCAAATCTCATCGTTCTTAAACATTGTAATTTCTAATGTTATAAAATTCATTCGATTATAGGAAATCTTATACTTCAAGCTGTTCACAAGAGCACTTTTAATGCGGTTTATATGACAAAAAAAAATAATATGAAAATATACGAAAAGAAACTTGAAATGTCTTTAAGTCTTGAATAACTACGTACTATTTTCTTTCATCAGAACTGAATATAATTGTTTTTTGGTATAAAACAATGTTAACCTAATTGTTGCTGCCATTTTCTTATGAATTAATTCAGATAACGGTAGTTTTGAGTCATAAAGCTACGTAAAAGAATAACCAAAAGAAAATTGCACAAAATGAGTTATACATGACTGAGATTGATTTGTTCAGTAATCATGTTGTTGGTCGAAAAATTTTTGTCGACACGGCACTTCGTCGACAAAGCATTTTATCAATAAACTCAGATAGATATGATTTTCGTCGAAAGTATTTTCTTGGCTATGGAAAGCGCTCCCAATGTAAAGGTGAGGTAAGGATGAGAGTAAGGACCATGCAGGATACTCCAAATGTGAGAGTGAAGGCAAGGCTGAGGACAAAGGCACTACAAACATGAGTGTGAGAGAAAATTCATTGTTCTCTTAACTCTGAACAGTTCTGTAGAAGAATTGAAGGATTCGAAATTATCTTGAGGGGCTGCGAACCTTTCCTTAAAGTGCTTTTCGACGACATGCATGTAATTCTATTCATGAGTGCCCTGAAATTCTTCCATCACCATCAAAGGAACAAAGTTACTTCGACGAAAAGCTTGTCGATTAAAGTGTCGTTCGTCGAACAACATAGCATTTGATTTGTTCTGTATAGAAGCATCGAGAACAGTCGAGTTGTGTTTTATTCATGTTTACATTATATTGCATCAGATATGATTGCTCTTAATATAAATATATGTTCTAGTTTGAAGAAAAACAAAATTCAATATACAATGAATAGACCATCAACTTTTGAACTATTGCCTAATGAATTATTAATAGATATTTTTGAATATCTTACGAAACATTCTTTGAACTTAATTCAAGATTAACAAAAATTATCAATTCATTTCAAGAATTTTTTCATTTCGAACAATCAGAATTTGAAGAGATTGATGATTCAACATTTGCACATCATGTTGCAACATTAATTATTCGACATTCAAATAAAATTAATCTAACTCATTATCCTAATCTTCGTGCATTAAAACTTCAATGCCATACTAAACAACAATTTAAGCAAACAATAAACCAATCTCAACTAGAACATTTATATATTGGTCATGCATTTTATGAATGTGACACTCGACAACTTCTTGAACATATTTTTATCAATGAATTTCCTCAATTACAGTCATGTTCTCTAGAAAATTTCATAGGAAATAGATCAATTATCCGTTCATCTTCCACTATTTTACCAAGTTTAGTTTCATTGCAAATATTTACAAAATATTCAGAAGATATTGTTTCTCTATTCTTCTTATGTCCAAAACTTAATCGATTATCAATTAAATATTTTCCTAATGCTAGAATTAATCCTAATATTTTTAAAGAATGTTTATTAATATCACATAAAAATCTGCATACACTTATATTTGATAGCGTTGATCAGATGTCTATTGAAACAATCGATTCAATATTGGCATTTGTACCGAGTGTTACATATTTATCAATTATTAGTCCTCAATGTGATACCAATAGAATACATATTGAATAAATACCACATACCCTACATCGACGTTTACTTAGCCTACGTCAATTTTATACCAGCATTTGGCTCGATGATTTAACATTGGATGTTAATTATCCATTCAATATCGAAGGCATTCAATCGCTTCATCAGCTGTTTAAACATATAAAATTAAGTTCCGGAGGTAGACGATTGATCATTTTGTCCTCGTCTTACCGAAATAAACTGATGTGGAATAAAGAAGAACAATTAGTTTTTATTATTTAATCAATTCCAAAAATATGTTTAGTTATTATTTTTTTCTTATTATGAAAATTTCATTGCTATAAAAAATTAAAATAATAAATATATAAATACAGTAATAGACAAAAGTCTCCGCCCTAGTAAAACTTTCTAGAAATTTTCATAATATTCGTGTAAATAAGCAGCACTAGTCATCTCCTGATCAGGATCACTATCCATTCCTTCAATATTGTTGCTAATCATTAGCTCTAATATACTTCTGACGCATGGCTTTATCAGTGTGTCAGCGGTACAAATTTGTTTGTTTTTTATTTCAACATTTGTTCGACCCAAAGTTCAGACATACGGCTGTAGTAAAAGTAATCCATTATGAAGTGACGATAGTGAAATATTTCCTCAAACAATGGAATCAGTCAAAAGATTTGACTGATTCAGAATGGTGTAGTCGACTACGTGCAACGATATCAAAACAAAATCAACAAATTACTTCACTCTCCGACCAACATACGTTCATTACAAGCTGAGTGAACAGTATGATGGCGCATGAATCAAGCAGGAACGAAATACAATCGACATCTGTCAAAACTGTTACTCATCGACCGCTACTGAGAGAATTGTTTAAAATGAACCCAAGATCACATAGCAACGAACTAGAATCGAGCGATCTTTTCTGACGAGATCACCATTCGTCTGAATTCCGTCAAACAGTTGTTTTAAATCGTGCGAACAATCAGGTATCCTATTAAAGTCAAGGCTTTAGTCACACTTTCTGTTTTAATCAGGACCTAGATGCAGAAATACTATGTGATATTTATAAGTATGATCTTTCGCCAACAGTCCGAAAACAATTCTGTCACGATTCGACGTTGTGCAAATTGCAAGAAAACAAACACACGCCGAAGTTTGCAGTTAAATTGGAAAACGCATAATGATGTTCACAAAATTGATTGGTCGTCAATGTCACCCGATGTCGCATCCATCGAAAATGTTTGGCAACTTCTCAAGATGAAGTTAAAAACGGAAAAGCTTACATGTTATCAATCTTTGGATCCAGCAACAAAGTATAAATAGAAGTCTTTACTATCGGACTTAGCCATGAAACTTGTACACAGTATGAATAATTGAATTTCTGAAGTTGTTGAAAAGTGATGGTGACTTTAAATCACATCAATAATCAGAACGTACTATAAGCTTTTACAAAGTAAAAAAGTATTCATCTTATTACTTCATTTGATAAAGTTTAACTAGACCGGGCACTTTTGCCCTCTACTTATATGGTCTTATCTATAAGAATCTTATCTAGTCAAAAATATTTCAACTAATCTCAATATGACTTACAAAATATTTTTTAAATTCCTTGTACATCATGTACAAATATGTCAATTATTTTGAATATTCATGAGTGTTGCGTATGAATGCATGACAATAGTGCGTGCAAAAATATGCATGTTACCAATACATTCATAAAAACATAATATTTTTATGTTTTGAAGTAAAACATGCAGGTTTATGTAAGAACTTTATTCTTGCAAATACTCACACATGAATGCCAAAGTATTTAATGCATGTATTTGCAAGATGACAAGGACTTCACTAAAATTTGTATGTCAATACAAAACAAAATTGTGTATATGAAAGTTTTCTCTAAAAGACATTCTGCGTTGATACGCACATTTTTGCTATCTGATAGTATGTATATTACCACATGCAAGAATCTAGTTTTCTGTTCTACGTATGATTATTTATGATCGTGCTAGACATGTGCACTACCCACATTCTTCTCTCTCCTTATATATCCGTCGGTCAGCCGCAGCTTTATTATAGAACTATTAAAGTCTATTGTTAGGATATTTTTAGAAAAGAATGCACATAAAATGCTGAAAGTTAAGAGAAAGGATTTAACCGTTGATAGGCTCATTCTTTATGAGATATGGATCGTTTTATTATCTCATTTTGATAGTCATTTGTTATATTTATAAATTAAATCATAACCAATATTGATTAAAAACTATTACCGATCGAACTCAAAGCTTAATGAATTCGACTGTGATAAGCGTAATACAGGATGATCCAAAAGTCACTTTACCGAGAAAAAATTGAATATCACTACCATATTCTCATCTATGTATAGTACAAAAAAAAATTAGAATATAAAACAAGTCGACAATTACAATAAATCTCAATGTAGAAACGGAATGACAATAAATAAAATGCACCCATCATGTTTCCTTCAACGCAAAAAAAAAACAATGTTTTATTATGATTTTGTGTTATGCTGAGACCGATAACTTTATTTGGTGAAAAATCAAAAAATCTTGCTTCGTATTTTTTTTTAATATAGTACAAATATTTTTGGAAAAATAATTAATTAGTATGAAATTTGTATTTTAGCATTGCTGCCAATGTGAAACTTCTAATACCTCCGGGAAAAAAAAATCATCAATTACAAAAAGTTGAATTCATAAAAATAAAAATAAAATTTTATATAAATGTCTTGAATAGAAATGTTTGAAACGGATGGTTTTCATTTGCTTCGACTTGTAATACCCAGTAATTTTTACAACATTGATGCCGCAATTTTAGCCATAAAAACACCATAAACAACTAAAGATATAGCTCCAACAACAGTTGTAGATAATAATGTACCAATAATAACTGGTTGTTCACATTTTTTAATAATATCACTTGGTTGTAGTATCTGAACCGCTGGCATAGTTGTTGTCGTTGTTGTTAATGTCGTTGTTGATATTGCTGCGTACAAAGAAAATCAATGAATAGATAAAAGAATATACTGTAATAATGCATCTTACATGCAGTGGTAGTACTCGTTGTTGTTGATGTTGTTGTTCTAACTGTCGTACTTGCGCCAGTACCTTATATATATATATATATGGGTAAAATCATTCGTTAGCGACGTGACATCATAAACTTGGAGTATGCATATCTCGGCACTATCAACTAGTTTAGGTGTGATTTTTGAATGGTGTACGAGTCTCTATTTACTCTAGATACTATGAAAAAAACAACACTCTAGAGCTTTGTTCAGAGGAGTTATTAACGAAAAACTAGCGTTAGCGACGTGACACCAAAAAGGACATCAAAAGTCAGTTGATATACTTTGGTTTTTAAAAATTTCTAAGTGTTGCACAATTGTCAAAAACTTAATACGCGATACTAGACACCACTCCTAAGGCCACCAAATCCCAGTGTAAAATTATTTTGAGAATGTTTAGGTTTTTAAAAAAATAAAATCTATTTGGCGTTAGCGACGTGACAACTTTGTTAGCGACGTGACTGAGTACGACTACACTACTGATCAAATGCTCTGGTAACGAACTGAAAAGTTCGAAATCGATTCCAAGGGGCTCATATTAATGGTAGGAGGTCCTAGAATAATACTAAGACAAACATTTCCATTTCCGCTCTGTCTAAGGGCTCTGAAAGGTCGATTTTTTGGAAGGAACTTTTTGAAGTCCGATCTCGATGAAAATTTTACCATATATGCGGCTCATACCCTAGAGCCAATCCTGAAGTTTTCAAGTTTTTTCCTCATTCGGTTCTCGAGATATTCGCTAATTACTTCTTAATTAGTTAATTATTAATTAATTAATTAATTAATTAATAATCATATGAAAGAGCAGACAATTTTACATAAGCCTATGCAAAAACAATTCACTCAAAACATCTATATTGATAGAGAATTGCATTCAAATGCAATCGGGGAATGTCCCGTTTTCGCTGATTTTACCCATATATATATATTAAACTCATAATGAAAATTAATTAAACAAAGACATTTACCAGTATAAGGTGTAGTCGAGCTTGGAACAGTAATTCCAGTTGTAGTAATAGCTGGATTAGCTGTTGTTGTTGATATAGCTGGTGTTGTTATATTTGGAATAATTGTTGTTGTACTTGATGTTGTCATTCCTGTCAAATTAGCATAGGCAGCTGAATTAAAAATATTAAACGGCCAAAAAGTTGGATCAAGAATTGGTTTTGATTGTGGACCACAAAATTCAGTACCCGTTACAACACCACTGTATTATTAAATAATCTATAGAACATCATGAAACCTATTAAGAAATAAACTTACTTGTCAAATAAAATATAATAGCTTTGACCCTAGTAAAAAAAGCAAAACAATGAATCACTTAATTAGATGAAAGAAATGTCAAATGGAATAACTCACAGCTATCCATGCATAGTTTGTAAAGAAGATCAAAGTAAAATTTGAATAAATAACACGGGTTGTATCTGTGCTAGCGTCAAGTGCATATACTTGTGTAGCAGTTGAACTTTGATAAAATCGAATATATGCTGCAGTTGATGGACGATTGACTGCTTTAGTACATTCAACACGCCATACATTTTGAGTAGGCATAACTGTACCTATGGGAGACTATCAAAGAGACTAATAGTGATAAAGTGTAATTGGTCTAAATAGATCAATATACCATGCTACCATTAACATAACTTGTATAGATTAGTTCAGGTGCAGTAACAGCAACAAGATAAGTGACACATTGTGTATTGCCTTGTTGACCCAAACTATCGATTGGTGTATAACAAACAAGATTTGAACCTTGCAAAAAAAGACGAAAAATTATACAGAAAAAAAAATTCACCTTCCTTATAGAAACAATATATCTGAAGATAGTTAGATTAAGAAAAGAAACTTTACCCCAAGCAGATGCTGGTGGTGTCCATGTCATTGACATTGTATATTCTAATGGATTGCTAGTCGATTGAGTGACTGTACCGCGAATCATACCTATGCATCGATATTGAAGATGATGAAATTTTTATAAATAAGATGTGAATACCAGGTGGTGATGTAGTGAGTACATCTGAAAGTGTTACACCTGAACAACCAACAGTAAAAATAGCTTGTTCTACAACTATTTGATTAACATCGACACCAACACAAGCACCAGCTGGACGAGCTCCTGTATATGATGGTCCTATTTTCGTTATTAAAATTCAAGATAGACTTTGAGAGAGTATTTGATAAAGGTTTTTTACCAACAGTGCAGCTACTGCTCGATGCATAGACTTGAACAATAAATTGTAAAGGTGTAGCTGATCTACATATACACATAGATTTACGTTTAAGAAAATAGCAAGATGACATACAGTGCAGTTGTTTGCCAAGTAAACTCATAATCTTCCATCATCAGACTAACAGCCCAGAAACCAACAGCTGATGCTGTGTAAGACACTAAAGAAAGAAAAATGAAGAGAGGAAAATTATTATTTTCTTTAGATACTCATGCAACTGGATGAGTTGAGTGATGCCCCAGGAAAAGTATTACAAATTCCAGCGCATTCATCAGCAACAACATTAGTTGGTACTGTAGCACTGGCACTAGCCCATCGACATTTTACTGTATCACCATCTGTATCAGCAGTAGGTATTAACCATGTGTATGAAAAGCCTTGTCGAAGTAATTTAACAGGAACCATAGCCGAAGTTGGTGCAGTATTGTAATGTCCATCAGCTCGCATATATGTACTGAAGAGTAGTAAGAAATTATTGTGGTAGTTTAGACTTGAAGTTACTTTTTCGAACATTCACAACTAATCGAAATCATAAAAACGACAGTTTTTAGTATTCCTTTTTTCTTTTTATTTTCATTTATTTTCTTCTTATATGTAATGATTTATATGTCTGGACATTTCCATTCATATACGATTTATTCCAAACTGAAGTAAGATTTTCATTATTTCAAATTTTTAATTTTAAGCAAATACATGTTTATTCAATTCAGGTTATTCGAATTAATCAAAACAATATATTCTTATTTTCTGTACAAGAGAAATATCAATTCGATCCGAAAATAATACTACAATTAAATAGAAGGATTCATGATGGATATTTTAATAAAGCCTTTAAAAATTCTTAGATTTGAAGTTACATTTTTATTGGGCCACAGGAGTGATTTTCCCGAAGTTGCACTAGATAGACTATATGTTGTTGCTATGAAATGAAACATTTTCAAATTCTAAGAACTATTTTGTTGGAACAACGAGAACTCATTAAATACAAAATAGCAGAAATCGATGATTTAAAGTCAATTTCGATACCGTAAACGGCCATCACTTTATAAAACCATGTTTGTTGTTCTAACAAATTAGTTCTCAGAATTTGAAAATGTTTCCTTTTGTAGAAAAAACATATAATCTATCTAGTACAACTCCGAATAAAATCCCTCCATACTCTAATTAAAAATATGACTTCAAATCCAAGAATTTTTAAAAGTTTTATTAAAATATCCACCATAAGTTCTTCTATTTAATTGTATTATTTTCGAATCGAATTGATATTTCTCTTGTACAGAAAATAAGAATATATTGTTTTGATTAACTCGAATAATCTGAATTGAATAAACATGTATTTGTTTGAGGTTAACATTCAAAATGAAAAAAATCTTACTTCAGTTTGAGATAGATCACACCCTTGAATGCAAATATGTAGACACATCAACAATTACATATAAGAAAAAAGTTAATAAAAATAATAGAAGAAATATTAAAAAAATGTCTCATGTTATAGGATGGTAGATTAAGGTTCACAATTCTTGTTTTTAAAATATATGAAAAAAAACATATGTTAATTAAATTGTAATACCTTATCTGCGTAGTCACAGCCCAATTACCACCACCACTTTGCAGTGAAATCCAGGCACTGCCAGTGAATGTTAAGGCAATCTTAATGTTTGGAGACAAGTTCAATATTGATGAGTCTTGACCAGCACTCATATCTTGTGAAACACTAAAATCAGTACATGGTACAGATGTACTCAGAGGACAAATCAATGAACCACATTGACTGCCACGACAACATATACTACCAGCTCCGATAGTACCACCACTGTTAATAGTATTTTGATCACAATAATAAGAACCACGACGCCAAGCATGTCGTTGAGTAAATGATATTGGTACAGGATTTTGATTAGGTACTTGTGGACTAACCTATAAAAAAAGATATAGATAAGAAGTTACTATTTATTGAAATAGTTTGTCTTACAGGTTTCCATGTAAATGAACCACCTCGATAGTGAGATGCTTCAATAACTATACCTAACCATATATACAGGAGATAATGTAATCCTTGCATTTTTATTCTGAAACAAAAAAACAGTTGAATGCACAATTTTTATCGTGTTATATAACAAACAAAAATGAAATTGAAAAAGAAATATAGACGTTTAGTTTTCATTTGCAACAATAAAACTAATAGAATACAAGTATGTGCACAACTGTTCTCAAAACATTTTCAAAATGAATAGAGAAATGTTGTTTTTTTTTTATGGACCATAGACAATTCACATATTGTGAATGTTAATGGAATTAAATCTAATAGTAATCGAATATAATGTTTGTTAATAAAATTCAGTTTTTTACTGTCACTTTTGTTTTGATGAAATCTCGAAAAACATAAGCGAAAAAAAAACCATCTAAAATAAATACGTTGTTTCAAAGTGAAATTGATGAAAATATTTATATATATATATATTGAATTCTAAAGTTGTGTAATTATAATAAAAACTAAAATGATTCATTTTGCTCGATTGCATTGGTTTTCTAATCAAGAATTATGTGTATGCAATTGATAACTATCACGATTTTTGAATCGAATTCAAAAATATTTACGTTTTTGCAGACAACTTTTTTTATTACTAGAAAAATATAAGAAAGCTTTTGAGCATTCATTTTATTCAATTCATTCGATATCCGTAGATAGTTGCTACTATTATGGACGTTGAACTTTTCTGCATTTTAGTGGTAAGGAAAAACGACAGAATAAGAAGACTCATTATCATTGTTACTCAACAAATTAACTCTTTGACTCTCGAAGACGTATAAATACATCTGAATGCAATTATTGAACAAACGTATTACTGGCATATTCTTTAATTATTTGGTAAAGCTTTTTATCATTTTCACAAAGACTTCTTTAAGAAGAAGACGTTGGATTTAGCAATCAAATCAGTCTTAAAGAAAACACGTGATTTGTACATTCCATAATGTGTAACGTGATACACAATATATGTATTCTGACTGCAAAGTATCTCTATGCATGGTTGATTACTTTAAAGACTATCATACAAAAATGAGCTACCAATGACTTTTTTGAAAATGATGTGCTATTTTAATACTTCACGATAGATTTCGGTAGAATTAACATACAAATTTTAATTTAATATAGGCTATCGCAGATATCATACGATAGTAATTTATATGGATACCACATTTGACTTCGTCAAAGATTACGATAATAAAATTCGGGAGAATTATTTCCCATTGATTGTTTTTTTTTCAAGACATAAAAAAAAACGTTATAGAATCCATCAGTTTTGCTATGCTGGAAATATTTGATAATCGTTTCATGCTTTAAAAAAAAATTTTTTTGAGAATAGATCATTGATAGAAAATTTTTTTCATGTTATTTGATTCTACATCTGAATAAAATATAATTGTTTTTATATTGATTCGGTTACAGTATTTATAATGATAAATGTAAAGCCTTTCAAAATAAGAAAAAAGGTATGTATGAAATTATACCCATCAAAATTTACACCCGCGTTTCGATTTACACAAATGCAAAACATTAAACTATACAAGCGAAAGTCAATTGAATAAAAGGATGAGAAAAAGGTGCTCTTTAAAAAAACATTTTTTTTAAGAATGATTCATCGAGCATATGCACGTGAAAAGTAACGAAAGCTATTATAGGTATTCTAAAACTGATCACACAGTTTGAAAGTTTTGATACATCAATTGTTGAACAATTATATAATTATAACCTGATGAAATCTTAGTTATAACACAAAAACAAAGCTGATCACAATAGAAGTGGACTGGGCTTCTATTCTGTGGCAAGAAGAGAATTGAAAAATACTATAGCCATCAATTTTCTAACCAAAAAGATATGCGATTTTTGTCATTTTTATTTTTCTATATGCTAGGACATGAAAATCTAACTATCCGCTTTGTAGCCATTGACAAGCTCTATCTTCTAGTTTTAATTAATAAAAAAATTACACTACAATCAACTCAAAAAGAATTCTTTTCTTTTCACTAAAGTTATCACTTTTGAATTCGCACTATTGTAGAAAATTCTTATATCTTTCACAAAGTAGTATATTAGAGCTCGAATAGGAAAATAGTATGTCTACTATGTCTGATTAAAAAACTTTCAATAGCTTTGTTCCGTTCAATAGACTGAACGAAGCAATAAAATCTTTCATATTAATCAGCTCAATTTCAAGAAAGTTATCGTTTTTATAGTAACACTAGGTTTTCACGAATTCTATGAGAGAGCTAGGACAATTTTATTATATTTATAATACTAATTATTTTTGTGTCTATATCGCATCTTCAATGACATTCAGTCAACTCAATTGAAAAAGTTTATTCTTTTTTCTTTATTTAAAATGTCGTTTTTCATCAATGAATTTGAAAAATATCAAATATTTTGTCTGTTTTCTCATCACAAATGCCATTTTTTTCGTGTTTTTAATATAAAATTCACGAAAGCCATGAAATTTTTGTTGATTTTTTGATTTCATGGGTACACACTCAATGCACATAACCTTAAAGAGATTAAAAGAAGTAAAGGAACTAAAAGAATTAAAAGGATTAAAGGGACTAACGGAATTAAAAGGACTAAAGAGATTAAGATAGATTACAAGTGTAAGAGGTTTTTAGACCAGGATAACTTTAATTTCTTCTAGATCCCTCATATATTTCTCTCTTTTCATGTATCATATATTGCATTAAACTTTTGTTCTACTATTCTTTTTAGCTATCAACAAATCTATTGTACTTTAGAGATGTGCACAGTTAAGTTTTTTTTTTCATACTCTGTACCATGACTGAAAAAAATGTTCTTACGCTTACCCTACCTTATTCTGCAGGATAGGGTAACCATACATAACTCTATTGTACTTCTCTATGAACAATATGATGATGATGATGATGGATAGCAAGGTAGAAATTGACCTATTGTATATACAAACTTATAAATATTATTTTTGACTGATATTGGCTAAAGTATGTTATTCAATGTTACACATTCTGTTCAAGTTTATCTGACATTTGTTTATTTTAAATTTGCTTTTATGTAATGTAAAAATAAAATATTGTTCAAATTTAGTTTTATTTAAAATCTTCACCATTCCTATTCTTGGCAAAATGAAATGAACACGAATGTGTTTTGAATAACTGGAGAATGAAATCAGTTAGCGTCCTAAGGTTTTTACCCTTGGAAAGAGCAATGTAGGGAAAGGAAGTAAAGATATGTCAAAATTTAATTGGTTATCAATAAACCAATCAGGTGAGAAGTTGTGCGAAATTTTAAGCACTACTTTTGAAAGGCTTTTTTCATTGGTTTTTGGGCTTAAATAAAACCATTCGATAGGAAAAATTGTTCTCTATTGACATATATAAGACTTAACTCACTACCTCATTCCATTCAAAACTTATAATGATTTTTCTGAAATCCCCAACTTCGATCAATTCACATTTTATGTCCCGAAAATAAATCTTTAGAGAGGTTTCAAAGTCATCTGAAATCAATCTAGCAAGATTTTTGATTTTCAGCTGTTTACGCAATATATTGGAAAACTTTCAAATGTTGCTAAGGTGATTTCAGATGACTTTAAAAACAAAAATAAATATCACTATTCGAATTAGTATGATCAATTATCTCTCTGAAGATCTATTTTTGGGGCAAAAACCATGAATTGATCGAAATGAGGAATTTTACGAAAGCCATTATAACTTTTGAATGAAATGAGGTATAGATCTTGCATAGATCAATAGAGAACAATTTTTCCTATGGAATGGTTTTATTTAAGCCCAAAAACTCATGGAAATAACCTTCCGAAAGCAGTGCTCAAAACTTCGAACAACTGCTCACCTGATTAGTCTATTGATAACCAATCAAATTTCGATGAGTCTTTATTTCTCCCGACGTTACTCCTTGCAGCGGTGAAAACCGTAAGTCGCTAGCTGATTTCGTTCTCGAGTTATTCAAAAAATTATTCATTTTATTTTCGCATTTGAAAATAAACACACTCTATGGAAGTTTTCATAATCATCGATTACTGTTAGTTTGAATTTTAAAGTGCATAAAGAAGAGATTATACTCCTTAGAGGTTTTTGCTATTCTGTTGTTTTTCATCTTACACTTGATTGATTATCAATGTAAATATATATATATATATATATATTCATGTGCATTTCAAGGATAAAACATGTCCACGTCATCTACAATCTCACATGAATCAGTTACAGCCGATATTAATTCTTTAGAAACAACTGCTGGTCCTCTTATTTGTTCAATTAAACGACGATGGGCAACAAATAAATTAATTTTCAAAAAACTAATTAATGACGATCATCTTATTCATTATGTCGTATTTTTAAAAGGTACTCAAGATGAACAGAATGGTGTTGTTCTTAAAATTTATCCAACAAATTCAGATGTATATACTGATCATCAAGAACAACTTCGTTTAATTAATCATTTGAGTTATCATAATATAGCACCACGTATTTTATTAACATTTATCAATGGTTATTTTTGTAATTATTATATTCAAGGAAATATACTTGATATAAAAGAACAACAAACTCAGTAAGTTTTAATATTTATATTGAATATGTGGTTTTTTGTTTTGTTTTAATATGATTGATTTTTATAGTCAATTAATATCTCAAAAAATAGCTTCAATTCATTCAATTCCAATAAGATTTCATGGACCTCAATTATTTGATAAACTTAAATGTTTTATTGATTTATTTACTAATACAAATTTAAGTTTACATAATCGACTTGTTCAAATAACGAAAGAAAATGAAAAATTTACTAATAATAAAAATGTTTTAAAATCATTCAAATCAATTATTGGTTTAAAGAATATTTCAATATATCCATTAACATTTATTCAACTTGAATTAAAATTAAAAGATATATTATGGATTGAAATTTCAAATGATATTGATCATATACAAGCAAATTTTGAAAATAATTGGTCATCATTGAATATTCCTATTGTATTATGTCTTAATAATATGAAAATAGATAATTTTTTATTTGATTTAAAAACAAAATCAATAACAATTATTGATTTTGATCATTGTTCACATAATTATTATCTTATTGATATTGTTTCATATTTTCTTGAATTAGCAAAAGATGATTATGAAACAAAATATCCTCAACGTTCTATACAAAAATTATTTCTTATTGAATATCTTAAAAATGCAAAATTAAATCTATCACATATGGTATATGATGAATATAAACCAACAGATCATGAATTAGAATATTTATGTGATTTATGTGAATTACTTATTGCACCTGTTCATCTTTATTGGGCTTTATGGGCATTTTTACAAGCATTACTTACAAAACCTACATCAACATTTGATTATGTTAAGTATGGTAAAATTCGACTTGAACAATATTATAAACATAAAGATAAATTTTTTCGTCCATTAAAACTTACACAAAAAAA